CTCTCTCTCTCTCTCTCTCTCTCTCTCTCTCTCTCTCTCTCTCTCTCTCTCTCTCTCTCTCTCTCTCTCTCTCTCTCTCTCTCTCTCTCTCTCTCTCTTTCTCTCACCAGTTTGAAGTGCTGCATTCAATAGCTGCGCTCACTACAATCATGGACCAAACCCTTCGTGGAAAAAATCCCGTAATCTCTTGTGTACAAACCTCGATGATAACGACGACATTCCAGATAACTATAATTATCAGTCGCAATGAGCAAGATTACCTGCCATGATTGGGGCCAATGAGTGTATTGAATTGTATATAGCCGCCGGCGTCTTGTGGCGCTCCTATCGCCGGCCCGCCCCACATCCACTGTAAACGCAAGTTGCCGGGCTGGTCGATAGTCGCGGCATCTTGCGATGGCTCCACGCCTTGACAAGGTCATGGCTAACATTATTGAGCAGAAAAACGCAAGCAACATGCCAAGAAAAAAGAGAGGAAAAAATAGGAACAGTGTACTTTCGGGGGCACAAACATCGACATTACCAGCGTTGCTCTTGACGTTTGTGCGTCAAGTTCTCTTTGTGTAGACGTGGCGAGAAAATGTCCCTACCACCAGCCCTGGAGGAGCAATGCGCTGCCAAAAAGGCAGAGCAGCTATCCAAAATCCCAAAGGACTGGCTCATTGATTCCCCTGCTCACGACACCTTGAGTGTGATTGATTTCCCCTCCACTTGTACAGATATACTCAACGACAAAGAGATCGAAATTACCGAGTTGGACGATATCGATGAGCTTTTAGGGCGACTGGCCAAAGGCGTTTGGGGCGCAGAAGAAGTAACCAGAGCTTACTGCAAGAGGGCAATCATAGCTCACCAGCTTGTAAAACAAAATAAAAATAAAGAAAGACCCCGTCTTCTCCCACAAAAGCTGACGCACCATGAGACAGACCAACTGTTTGACCGAGTTTTGGATCGAGGATGCGATATCACAAGCACGACGGCTCGACGAGATCCGTCTCGAGATTGGTCCCGTGGGGCCTTTGCACGGTCTTCCCGTCTCTCTCAAGGATCAGTGAGTTGAGGAGTCGTCTCGAAACCAAAGTACGCATTCGCCGGATTGCTGACGACATTTTCCATCACACAAGGTTCGATGTAGCTGGTACTGAGAACAACATGGGCTTGGCTAGTTGGCTGGGGCGAAAGTGTAAAGACGACGCAGCATTAGTCACCATACTTCGCAAGTCGGGTGCAGTAATCTTCGCGAGTAAGCCAAGTGATCAGCTACAATCCAGCGGAACGAGTCGAATCATTGTCTATCGAACTAAATTGCCTCTAGGAACGAATGTGCCAATGGCCATCATGATGCCAGAAACAGTAAACCAGCAAGTTCATCCCTCAAAAATCCCCAATGACAAGTATTAAGTAATGACACTTCCCACAAAAGTGTCTATGGAAGAACTGTCAATCCACGAAATCGAAACTTGACATCTGGGGGCAGCAGTGGTGGTGAAGCTGCTCTGCTGGCACTGAAAGGCAGTCCGCTGGGAGTAGGAACAGACGTGAGCTTGCAAAAAAGACACCCTTGACTCAAGATATCATTTTGCCCGGACTAATCAATCCCCCAAAAAGCTTGGTGGCTCCATTCGCAACCCGGCATGCTTAAACGCTCTGTATGGTCTAAAGCCCAGCACTAGGCGGATGCCTTACTGGGGAGCTTGCAATACGCTCGTTGGACAAGAGTCCATCGAAAGCTCGGTTGGGCCATTGAGTCGAACCTTGTCTGGTTGCGCCACCTTTTTCAAGACCATCTTGCAAGGTCAGCCTTGGAATCTAGACCCCAAGGTTCTCGAAATGCCGTGGAGAGAGACCATGTTCAACTTGGAGCACCTGGGGGGAAACAAGGCGAAAATGTGCTTTGCGTTCATGGAAGACGATGGGTTGGTGAGGTGCCAGCCACCTGTACGGAGAGCCATGAGAGAGGCCGTCGAGGCCGTGAGACAAGCCGGACACACGGGTGAGGTTGATTCATGCCACCGCCGATATGACTCTTCTCTTAACGATGGATGATAGTGATACCATGGAATCCGGTTGATCACCAACATGCCATCTCCATCCTACAACGCACGTTTGCATCGGACAGTGGTGAAGAATTCAAAATACTCTTTGGAGAATCAGGCGAGGTACGGATGTTTCCAGCCTTATGACGACTGACCTCATTGGTAGAACTGGCGCTGATGTTGCGACAGCCACTCTTACCTGGAATCGACGATGTCTCGGCTTTTCCTCCAATCACCGTCAATGCATTCTGGAGGCTGTGTACTGAGCGAGAAGCATACGTGAGTCGGAAGATAAGTCATGGCTCCTAGTGTGTAACACGGCTGACGTTTTGTGGCCGGCCAGCGAAAACAATACCTAGACGCATGGCTTGCTTCGGCTTCCCTAACCTCTACGGGAAGGCCCATCGACGCAATCATCTGCCCCGTCGCCCCCTTTCCGCCTCCGACTCACGGAAACTACATATATGCTGGGTACACTTGTGTTTGGAATGTCTTGGACCTCCCCAGCGTGGCTATTCCGGTCACGGTTGTTGATCAAGTTCTTGACCAACCAGAGGCAGATTACAAACCACGAAACGAGATGGACGCAAAGGTCTACGAAATGTACAAGAGCCCGGAATTATTTCGCAACGGGCCGGTCGGAATACAGGTGATAAGCCGAAGATGGCACGAGGAGGAATGTCTAGGCCTAGCAAGAATTGTTGACGAGGCTTTAAAGCAGAGGAAGACTTGACCTTTGTCCACGGAATGAGACGTGGGATATGGGATAAAGTAATAGATTCGAATGTTATAACGTTTGAGAAAAATCACAATGATCTAGTATGATTAAATTTTCGGTCAAAGTAGACTCATCTCGGTTTTCATTCGTCTTGACTTTATTTTAAGAAGAGATAAACGAGGTATCATTTCTCGATGTTGACAATCGCAAACAATCACTAGACCGGCTGCTCATTATCGCTTTGACTCCCAGGGTCCACCGATACTATAAAGTTCTTTTCATCTGGTAAATCTAGGCAAGTAAGATAACTTATCAAGAACCCGCCCCCCCAAGAACCCGTTATCAATATAAAGCCGGAAGACTTAGCGACGCCTTATCAATACACCGAAGGCCCTAGGATCAGTACTAGAGACGCCAAGAAGCCAGGGGGAGTATTGATATGGTACCTATATTATATATGGACCTTTGAGTTCCTATTAGGAAGGGTACATACCTATTGAAACAGTGTTGCCTCATCATGTCGAATCCCTCAATCGCACCAAAGGTGCTCGTTACAGGCACTACTGGTCTGATTGGTGTAAGCAGCTGCTCTCGCGGAACATCTACCTCAAGTACATAGAAGATAACTAATTGTTTGGAACCCAGACACCGATTGCACTCGAGATAGCAAACGCCGGCTTCCCGATTCGCGGAACCTCTCGATCCCAAGACCGGGCGGCAGCATGGAGTGCAAAGTATTATCATGTCAAGATCGACTGGATCATTATAAAAGACCATGCGGCCAGCACACATGAAACCTACAAGGAAGCCATCAAGGGCTGCGGCGCTGTAGTTCACGTTGCGGGACCTTACACGTTGCAGCATGCTGTATGTGCTCCCCGGGCAACCGCGCAGAAGATAGCTGTCCGTTGTACTAAAATGAGCACCCTGTTTTTCCTTTGGCATAGAAAGGAGAGGATATCATGATACCCCAGACCCAAGGAGTCGAGGCTATCCTTCACGCCTGTTCCAAAGAACTTAGTGTGAAGCGACTCGTTTACACCAGTACAGTCGCGGCGATCAACAATGACCCCCATCTTGGCATCGATATTAAAAAGGTGTACGTCACGACTTTTTACAGAACCATATTTACATCATATCGTATTCGTATCTAATAGGGTTTGTCTCTAGCTACTCTGAGCATGATTGGAACCCTACCACCTGGGAGAAAGGCGCAAGCGCAACTGGTCAACACATGGCAGTGACAAGTTACTGTAAGCCCACTTTCTATTCTCCCATTTCTGAGGTGCCAAATCCATTTACGAATCAAACAAAGGCTGCGGTAAAACACTTGCCGAGAAGAGGGCATGGGAATTCATGTCAGAGGAGAAGCCCCATTTCGATCTGGTCGCGCTCTGCCCAGGCACCGTTTACGGTCGACCCATGCAGGTCTTGAATGGCGTCCAGGACTTGGACGCCGCACATGCCAGTAAGAAAATCACTTTAAACCCGCCTCTCGTCAAGAGAATACATATTGGCTTGAAAAAAAACTTACCAAATGATTACAGGATTATGGCACCATATAACACATGCTTTGGAAGTGGTCCCTGGAGATCCAAGTCCGGTAGGATTATATGAGGCTCACTCAACAAACTCCAGTAGACTAAATGATGCCACAGGTCTTTACCAACATTTTCGACTTGGCGGAAGCACATCTCAAGGCTCTTACATGGCCCAAGTGCTCAGGACAGCGATACATGATTGTACGTGGTTTAAACCCCCCATCACCCCTCCTTGCAGTATACAAATGCTGACAATATTCGCGACAGGTTTCGGGAAGCTATTCCTACGCTCGAATATTCGCCCTCTTCCGCAACCTCTTTCCAGAACAGGCCCAAAGATTCCCCGTCATCCCCAACGATGGTCTCCCTTTGGAACCGAGCTTTGTAAATGACTGTTCAAAGGCCGAAAAGGAACTAGGAATGCGATGGCGGACACTGGATGAGACCGTCTTGGAAGCTGGACGAGCCTTGTTCGAGCTAGAATCAAGAGTTTGAGATGGGCATGAAACGCCACCGTGAGAAACGAATTAGAAAGTAAACGAATGTGTTTTCTAGCTACTGTGCCACAAGAGTGATGATCTTTAGGTTAATGACTATTGAATCTATGGTTGGTTGGGTGTAGCTAAAAGTGTGGTGTAGATTAGAAGGCGGAAAGCTGTTGCAGCTGCGGGGAGAGCTAGGTACTCTGTACAATGTAACTAGTATGTACCTACCCTTCAGCGCTGGTGCCTAGCACCTAACAATATACTCACTCTCATTAGTGGCTCTTTTCCAGAAATGTTGCCAGTACGTGGACCATAACCATAGATGCAGTCCCAGCAGCCAACTAGATCCCTTGTGGCCGATAAAGAATGTTTCCCATCGGAGACGGGCATGGCACGGCTACCAACGCTATCCATACCAGTAATGTCGAGTATCGTGCCTAGGGTGGAAAGTGTTTCGGATCTTCCGCTGAACTGCCAAGCCAGTGAATCTATACGACGTCGGGAGCAGCGACAAGTCGCCTCTACCCCAGTCCAGTCCTCGATGTGAGGCCCCAGAAGAATTCGCTTATACCGTCACGAGACCTCAAATGCTCACGTTTCCAATCGTCCGTTGGGGGTTTTGCATCGTCAGATCTTGAGATCGTAAGACGGTAACGAAAATGTCTATCGTTTCAATTAGTAGAGAAAGCTCAGAGTAGGTTTTCCGAGTTCGCGGCTTTGTATTCTGTCAAATCGGGTTTCACTTTTTCTTCTCCAGCTATAATTAGACGCGCCATCCTTCTTTTCTTTATTCATATATATTTACATCTTCCACTCTGGACCACACACTAATTCGAGAGGGACAGGTCCAAGCTTCGAAAAGAAGACGTACATCGTCTTGCCGCAAGTCTTTCTGTGGAGATCGATATAGACGATGCGAATGATTATCTTATTCTCTTGCAATCTTTAGAGTCTGTTTCGAATCGTATCATAGATGCACCAGAGTATGTAGAGCCAGCGCTTCGAGCTCAGCCCGTCGTCGGGAACCGCAACTATTGGAAGCCCGCCAGAGAGAACAATCCTATGAATGCATGGAGTCATCGATGTGAGCTAGAGTCGTCCCAGCCATCCAACGACTTACTAAGAGGCCGCACCTTGGCGATTAAGGACAACATCTCGGTCGGTGGACTCCCGACTACCCTCGGCACATTTGATAAAGTCTTGTCTCCCGATGGCTCCCCTCCGGCGATATCCCCGATTGACGCGTCGGTGGTGTCCAGGATTCTCTCGGCCGGTGGCGTTATCAAGGGATCGTCCACCTGCGAGAATCACTGCGCGTCACCGCTGTCCTTTACGTCAGCCACCGGACCGGTTCACCACCCTCTTTTACATGGATACACAAGCGGTGGAAGCAGCAGTGGCTCGAGCGCACTCGTTGCCGCGTGTGAGCTCATGCGGCGAGGCGCGGTTGTTAATCTGGGAGAGGTCGCCGAACTCGCCATTGGTAGCGACCAGGCTGGATCCGTCAGAATCCCGGCTTCATTCACCGGTATCTACGGGCTCAAACCGACATTTGGACTTGTGCCGTACACCGGAGCTTCTTCCATGTCGCCCATGATAGATCACTTGGGACCTTTAGCGTCAAACCTGGAAGACCTTGCTACTCTATTAAAGGTCATGGCCGGGTATGATGGATTAGACCCACGAACGACCCCGGAAAGTCCCTTGTTGGAGGATGTGAAGGATTACCCAAAGCTTCTCTCAGATTTCCGAGATGAGCTCGCAGAGGCATCTGTCGGTAGCTCGAGGCGCATGAAAGTCGGGTTCCTCGTTGAATCATTCCAAATCCCAGGATTGGCACCAAATGTACGTGATGCGGTAAGACTTGCAGCAGAACACTTCAGAGCTGCTGGAGCGGATGTTACTGATGTCTCAGTACCGCTTCATCTGGACGGCCCAATCATTTGGGCTGCTGCCACTCGGCCGTCGATGTCTGATTTTCTCTGCCAGGGTAAGACTGGAGGCCATCTGACGTTTCTTCCTCCTCATATACAGCCACAGTGGCCCCCAAAACAAGAGGCGTTTGATTTGCTTTCTGCTTCTAACCCTGCTCTTGTTAATATCATGCTCAGTGGGCAATTTGCGCACAGTCATTTTGGCACATCGCTAGAGGCCAAGGCGCACCGCATGGTATTTGAGCTCCGGGCAGCATACGATGAAGCACTCAAGGATGTGGACGTATTGGTCACCCCCTGCGCCCCTACAGTTGCTGTGCCGCATCCAGAGCCCGGAGATCGAGGGCTGAGGAGGCTGAACAGTATCATTGGGGTCACCAACAACACATGTCCTTTCAACATAACTGGCCATCCGGCTATGAGTGTTCCCTGTGGAACTGCATCTAACCCAGAGCACCCTGATGTGCAATTGCCCATCGGGATGCAAATAGTTGGGAGAAGATGGCAAGATGAGACCGTATTTATGGCTGCGGCACTGTTCGAGCAAGGGGTTGAAGCAAGTAATCAAGACAAATAGCTTTGCACAAGTGTAGTCGAGAATCAATAAATAAAACTTCCAGATCTGTCGTATGCCACGCGTGTGCTCTCTTTGTCTCTATAATTTTTGGTTCAATTGCAAAAAGTCAGATCTGAGATCTGTCCAACGCACCTGGTAAATGCGAAATCATCACCACGAGATCATGGCAACTACAACGACTGATGAATGGCAGTACCAAGAGAGCAGTTGGTGGTACCGCATCTTCTATTCCGGCTTCACAGTCAAGAGAATTCCATACCCACACATTGATTATGTGCGCATGTGGAGAGTAGCCTTGATAAAGCGGCATCAAGATGTAAGCGCCGTTTCACACTGAACGTTCATAATACTCGTAGCTGGGATTATCATTTGCTAAAGCACGTGCGAAGTTCCTTATTGTATGAGATTAAATCCCAGGACCGCTTTTCCTTCCTCTGATACATCATCAAAACCCTTGTAACCTTTCAACTTGGTCTCATCCGTTGTGACATTCAAACAGTCTGGAGGGCAACGGCCAGCCAAAGCAGCCTCCAGTTGCTTTTTTACATAATCTTGATTAGTGGGTGTCGTCGGGCAGGCTGCAACATAAACAACACTTGCGTCGCCGTCACCAAAGTGGTCAGGATCCACGGCATGGCACATCTATACGTAGTTAGTTCAACCTAATTCTTTGACACCTCGGGTACACCCTGCTTACATCTGTGTGCCACCACACTGTGTCTCCAGGCTGCATCTCGGGAATGAACGTGAGGCAGTCTTTCAAGCGCAGGTGCGGGTGAGAGCTGGGACTCAGCCGCTGGCTTTGCTCCTTGATCGTCCCAGGAAACCAGCTCGAGTCTGGATCAAAAGTCCACTCCTCTGCTTTCATCACATCTTCCTCCTTGGCCGGGGGCTTGAAGAATGGCCGCAACATGACATAGGCGATGACGGCAGAGACTTCGGGGTAGAGCAACAGTGAACCGACGGACGGCGATGTAGGCGTCAATGCCGTCCAGCCTTGGAAAGCGCGAAAGACTACCGAGTGTGCCTTGGCCTCGAACAAGAATTGATTGGCGTCCTTGCGCACCTCGAGGTCATAGGGATCATGCTGCTCAGGATATCCGGATAGAATCTTGGCATATACATCGCGGTATCGAGGATCTGCCCAGCGGCAAAGACTCCCGGCATCAATGTGTGGTCCAAGGGTCAGGAAGGGTTGTCTGGGAGGTCTAATCCGAGTCGCATCCGTGTAGCTTAGGGGTTGAGAAGAGGTTGTGCCCGAGGCGTCGTGATACAGGGAGTTTAGTGACTTTTGCACCAGTATCTGATTAGGATGCGTTCGGACCGCCACTTGCGTCGGTGAATTGTAGAGGTTGAACATTATAGGGGACTCTGCAGGCCATCCCATGATGTCGCCCTGGTTTCGGACCACAAAGTCCTTGAGGTTCTCGAACATGGATGTAGCCTCTTCGCGATCGAGAACGCCGCGCACGATACAACAGCCGCTAGATTTCACCTCCGAGCGTCTTTCCTCCGATAGACCGCCGGGACCAAAGTCCTCGATTCCTAGAACCGGGATCGCGTCGCTTCCAAGCTTCGCAAGTCTCTCGGTTACGACTTCGAGTTGTTTGCAGACCTTGAGCCAGCCTTGGCGGAGGGCAGCTTCTCCATACTGCGCAATGACCTCGGCCTTGGCCTTCGAGGAGCTGGTGAAGGTGTCCTCAGAGACGCTCGCAGGAGGATCAAGAAACTCGTTCCATAATGGCCAATTGGTTATTTTAACTGCCATGATTTAAATGGCGAATCTTTGCGTAATAAATATAGCCAAATTTGCTAATGTATTTGCAATAAAAATGAAGTGTCTCAACCATGGAAGGTCGTGCATGGACCGACGGAGACAGACCTTTTTATCTTGTCGAACTAACAATAACTGTCGTTTCCAACTACGAATGCGGAGAACCTGGACAACTACAAGGCGATCTCAGCACGATCAGACTGGGTCGGATTGTCAGAACAATGCATTGGCTGGGTCGTGGGATACTAATTGGGGCACGGCGGTCGATCCGATGGAAAAGTGTCGGGATTCCCGAAGCCAAGTTATCCATGAACTAAAACCTTATCTTTGGCTTTTGTTTGATACCTCGCCCATGTAACTCTCCCTTTGTGATGGATAATGATATAGTACTTACAGCCATTCCCTCCATCCGCTCCCTGTCTACTTAATGTAGAGAAGGGTAGCGGTTGAGGGATTCATCTCTGTTTATCTCTTCCCAACTGTGCAAGACGAAGCCTATACAGCAATCACGATGCTGGGACTCAGTAAAATTATGTTGCTCATCTGCCTGGTGGCAGCACTCAACTGTGCGACCATTGGCTATGATGCTAGCATGATGTCTTCCCTCAACATCTTGGTATGTCCCCATTTCCGTGTTACCTTGCTCAGCATTGCTAAATATTCCCAGTCTGAGTTCCAGAGGCAATTCGAAATTGATACACAACTCAAAGGTCTCTTGACGGCAATTCAAAATCTCGGTTCCATTGTTGCAGGTTTCTTCGTTGGCAGCCTTGTCGACAAGTATGGTCGAAAAGGCGGTATCCTGATCGCCTCCCTGATCGTTCTCATATCTTGTGTCTTGCACTCTACCGCGACCACCAAAGCCCAACTCTTCGTCGCCCGAATCCTCATTGGCGTTGCAAAGTCTGTGGATATCGCTGCCGTACCGACCTACCTCGTCGAACTGGCCCCACCAACACGTCGTGGTTTAATCGCTGGTCTTTACTGGGCATGTTGGCTTCTTGGTGCCATTTTATCCTCGGCGGTTGGTTATGGAGCAAGAAGCATATCTGGACAATGGTCGTGGAGGCTTATCTGTATTTGCATGGCCGGCCCTGCTTTGTCGTGCATCATATCCCTTTTCTTCATTCCCGAGTCCCCCCGATGGTTACTCTCACGTGGCCGGGACCGCGAAGCACTTACCATTCTCGCCAAGTTCCATGGCAAGGGTGATGAGTCTAATCCTCTGGTCGTTGCCCAGTTCCGAGAGATCAGAGAGTCCATCACCTTTGAGCAGGAGAACAGATTTGAGTCCTACTTTGCATGGTGGAAGGCATTCGTTTCAGTCAAGGCAAATCTCTATCGGGCTTTTATACTTATATCGTTGGGCATTTTCGAACAAACAATTGGTTCAAGCATCATTACCTTTTACCTCAGCAACGTGCTGGACCTGGCCGGAATCACTTCAGAGCAGGAGCAATTTGCTATCAATGTCAGCCAGAACTGCGTCGCATTCGTCTCGGCGCTTGTCGGCCTTTGCTTCATTGACAGAGTCGGCCGTATTCCCATGTTGGTTGCCGGCACAACTCTTTGTGCACTGGTTCTTGCGACCACGGCCGGCCTGACAGCTGCAGAGACAGATAATGCGCAAGGCAGGAATGGGATCATTGCAATGGTCTTTCTTTTCCAAATCGGCTACTCTTCCACTTGGACTCCTCTGTCATTCTCGTACTGCGCAGAAATTCTCAATTTCACCATTCGAGCCAAAGGCATGGCGTACGTTATCTTCTACCTATTCCATTTAAGACCAAACTAACGAATATCATGACAGCTTCTACAGCATATTTACTTCTTCTGCGGGCTTCTTCAACCAATATGTCATCCCCATTGGGTTGGACGGAATCGGATGGCGGCAAGTATTACCTTCCCTAGGTTTGGCGGATTCAACTGACAGATTCAAAGATTCTACATTGTGGGTGTCGTTTGGAATCTATTTGTTGCCACCGTCATCTTCTTTACATATCTCGAGACCAAAGATCTCACCTTGGAGCAGATTGACCAACGCTTTAATGGAGTGCCTCGTGACCAGCTCGTCGAGATTACTGAGGTATACAATGGGACCAAGCCCATTTCTGACGGTGAAATAATCAGAGATCCAACTTCCAAAGAACTAGTTACCAAAGTGTAGAACGGAGGGATGTGTGCTCAATAACACAAGACTCGGTTGCCTTGTCTGTCTTCTTTTTTCAGCCTTTACTTGAGAGGTATTGCTTTAAATTTCTTTTTGCTCCGATTTCAACTATTCGTTAAATATTGTGATGACGCTGCAGCATTATTTGCAGAAATTGCTCGGGGTTCTGGCGTTCTGACCAGACTAGATACTAAATAATAGATCGTTTAAGCAAATCCCCGCTACAACAAACGTTGGCTCGGTGTAGATTGATTCGGACACAAAATATTAGACCTTATACATGTGACCAAGTCCCGTTGTTCAGTGTGCACTGTGACAGATTTAATTAATTATTTACTTAATGAATAGTTTTCCTTTGCAATTTCTTTTATGGATATCTAAATCAAAATATTTTCTCTTATCTCTTTAATTATATTGTGGTGATCTTAAAGGGAGATATGGTGTTTCTATTAGCTGAGTTTCCGATTATAAAGCTTCGGTAGCGCTGCTAAAAGGCGTCCATGGCGGTGCCACCCCACCACCGCCACATCTACAAGGTCCAATATGGGCTAATGCTTTACTGGATCTACCATATATATATTACTTACCCCTCAACTTATCAGAGAAAGCTCATTACCAAGTCGTCCGATACAAGGGCACTTTGGAACCAAAATGGAGATACAAGCTGTAGTCGCCAAGGCCATGACATCTTGCCAACGCTGCTACAAGCGAAAGAAAAAATGCGATCGTACTTTACCACAATGCGAGAATTGTCGAGCAGCCGAAGTTGCATGTAGCTTCCTCGTTGATGATTGCCAGAACGGCACATATCCCGTCGCGTGAGTTCATCGACGCACGCTTATCTTTATCACCAAGATGAAAAAATCAAGACAACAAGCTGATATTAAACTAGGTTTGTGCGAGGCTTGGAAACCAGGATCCAAGAGCTGGAAGAAAAGCTTGCATTTTTATCAGCAACAGCCGGTGATGTCCCGATACAGCGACAACTATCTACCGAGAATGCTTCTCATAGCACACCGCCGCCACTTGAACATGCTAATCAAGGCATGAGCAGCCGCACAAGACTCACGATATCTGAGGCAGAAAGCCGAGCGCCAACAATAACCATGGCTGAAGAACTGAGGATACTCACCTTGGAGGCGACAGCAGAACGGCATTTTGGGGCAACCTCGGGTGTCTCTTTCGCAAATCTCACCCAGGCAATATTGAAACGTCTCACACCCGATCGGGCAGATTTCGTTTTCCGAAAAGACCAGAGAGACGATACAACAGTAGAAATCGATTGGGACTCGTCGCCCGAGTTGTTCAACCCTTCACTAGTCAACATTACTACTATCCTGGGCTTTGATTCAAGTTTGTTTGGACCTCTGCCTTTGTCGCACATCGTTGAGCCAGTGGGGTCTTTGGTAGATTTGACTTTACCTGGCCGATCTCGCACGGATGAGCTAGTTTCCTTCTATTTTGCTCACTCGCATACTTTGTATCCCATTCTCAATTACAACAGCTTCCTTGCTGACGTGGATAGTATTTATGAGGATTCAATGAACCTTGATACCCTCGTTTTATTTCGTTTCTGGATTGTTTTAGCCATCAGCCACTCTTCATACTGCTCCATCTCACTAGCTGAAGAATCAGAGGCCCTACTTTACTATAATAAGGCTCTTGAATACTCTGAAACAGCATGTGAATCTGGTGACATGGTATAAGCCATCTGAACATCCTTTTCGAATTTATTCATAGTGCTGACACGTCGAGGCAGGCCGCCCTTGAAATCACAACCCTTCAAGTATCATTCTCTTTCTTCAATCAGCTTGGGCCAAGTAAATCAGTCGTCTGTCGCGTCTTCGGCTTGGAAAGCTGACATATTCCCAGACACTTGGTTTCTCATCGGTATGGCTGCTCGTTTGGCCATCGGCCTTGGTTTGCATACGGCTGCGGCATACAAAAATCTCCCCTTTGATGTTGCAAATATGAGGAAAAGGCTTTTCTTTTCCATATACATGATGGATCGGTAAGTCAAGGTGGTAGAGCCATGACAGTGGTATTCGTAGTCGCTTTCTGATGGATTCTCTGGTTCATAGTGTTGCTTCCATGGCGCTTGGTCGCCCATTTGCGTTGCAAGACGACGATATCGAAATAGAGGTAACTTGGCCCTCCAATTGTTTTGCGGCCAATGGTTTTCTCACTGTTCTCTATCTAGCCATTTGCCGAGGCTGACGACAAGGATATCAATGCCTACGGCGTTCTCAATCAGGAGAGTCTAGAAACGCCTATGATGGCTGTTCCGTGCCATATTCTCAAGCTAAGAAGAATTGCAAGCAAAATCAGCCGACACGTTTACGGAAACCCAACAGCCATCAGGGAAAACATGCCACGTCGCGAGCAGATTGTGTTCAACCTCCACAAGGAGCTTATTGAATGGCGGCGTAGCACGCCATTCCCATTACCCGAGATCCATCCCCGGGTGCCGCACCTCAGCAGCAACTGGTACGATTTCAACTACTTCACCCACGTTTCTTTGCTATACAGACCGTCACCGCTATATCCTACCTTGGTGCCAGCCAATGTACGGAAACTCGCCGACGCGGCTTCAATGTCTATTCGCCAAGCGCACATAATGCATTGCCAGGAAAGGTTTGCTTACAACTGGTTAAACCTTCTCGCACTTTTTACGGCGGCACTTTCATTGATTTACGCTTCGACCGTCCAGCCAGATGAGCTCGTGGTTTACCTGCAACATAACCAGGTCATCAATAACCTGGAGCTCGTTCTGCAGTTATTTGACAGGTTGTACATCAAGTTCCCAGGAGCAAGGAATACCCAAGTGATACTTACTCGTGTCATTCGACGATATAAAGACATATGCGGATTGGACACTGCTGGACAGATTGTCATGTAACCACATGCTGTGTCACTGCTTGGAGAGACATGTTTCAACCTGACATGGCTGATTGTTATGAACGTCACGTCGCTCTACAATTATGTATGTGGGCTCGAGCAACAATAATCAGGTCAAACTTTGCGTAAAGAGAAAAAGTGATACCCTATTCCGTTATATATTTTATACTTTCATCCTTCTTGCCAGATAATAACGACGAAAACATGTAACTGGATCATCGTATCCTAGGTGATCAGACAGGAGTAAATTCATGAAGAGCAATGAAGGACAAATCGAAGTCCAGCTCGGAACCAATCAGCTCGAGCCATCTTCTGAGGTCGAGGACTCGTTCATTGTCGCAATCACTGAAGCCGGCTTCGATGAGTACTATTTGTTTCGTCGGGAGGTACTCAACTAACGAGAAGCGATACGATTGTCTCATGGTATGATCGGCATACTCGTCTCAAATACATCTCGCTTCGGAATATCCGGTCTCAATATTCAGTGACTTGGTTGGATGAAACCCATTATTGCCAATGAAGGCCAAGACAGTATTGTGTGCCCGGCACGAAGGCCAATGTTTACGCAAAGCAGCACTATTGCCGGCAGAAGGGCTTTCGCGAAGAGGTAATGGTCATTGATAGATACACTATTCATATTCATGGTCTTCTTCCGACGCTGTGTACAGCTACCGGTTACTTCAAGTTTACTTAAACCCCCACTGCCGGTAACATAATCGTTATGATATAATAGCATGATGTTAATATCCGTATAATAGATATATATTGATGCTTCGAATAATACATATTTATTATAATTTTGTAAATAAAACTTTAGGTCTAAATGTTGAGTTACTGCTGGGAGGGGGGCCTCTTGGGGGGTGTGGAGGGCGCCCGGCACTAATGTAGGTAGGGGAGTGTTGTGCTGCCGGCTCTAGAGCATTGCTCAGCTGCTCTGGAAGGCGCCGTACGTTGCTTAGGGTAGTGCCTACCTTACCTTAGCCAGGGTCGCTAATCAGCTAATCAGTGGCTCATGCTGTAGTTGCCGTAAGGCTGTTCCAGCCACAAATTCCCCACTGTATTTCTCGACAGGCAAGCATGGCAAGCTCCTGGTTCAAGATGAACAATATTTTGTTTTCTAATTCCTCGGAGTAGCGCAGCCTGGCACATCGACGGTAGTCCAGGCAACTACTGACTGACCAAGGCTCAGCCCTTCTTATTTCTCAAGAATATACATTTCGTTGAAGCTCTTTTCCATCGAATCTGACGCTCCCTCCACCCTACATTACAGCCGGCGCATTTCATCATCTAGCAGTCGCGCAGAGTGCGCAAAGGAAGCAGCACGATGACGACTCGACGGGACTTCCTTAATATGCCTGCGCCCGAGAACTACGTGGCTGGTCTCGGGCGTGGTGCTACTGGCTTCACCACCCGATCAGATTTGGGCCCGGCGCGCGAGGGCCCTTCAGAAGACCAAATCAAAGAGGCTCTAGCTAAAAGAGCCGCTGCCTTGGGTTTCGGCGACGCTGCAGGCGCGAAGAAAGACGACGACGACGATAACGACGAATCGGAGAGATATCAGGACCCAGATAATGAGGTCGGTCTGTTTGCTGGTGGTGTCTACGACAAGGACGACGATGAAGCCGACCGTATCTATCGTGAAGTAGACGAAAAGATGGACAGAAGGCGAAAAATAAGAAGGTTGGTCCTCTCTCCCCTTTCCTACCACATATATCAGCACTTCGCCTGCCCGAATTCCCCCCACATCTCCTGCTTTCCACAACTGGTTTACCATTTATCCCAAGATAGATGTACAAGTTACCGACCATATTTCGAATAGGGAGGCTCGCGAAAAAGCGGAACGAGAAGAATACGAACGCAACAATCCCAAAATCCAACAACAGTTTGTCGATCTTAAGCGCGCCCTTGGATCTGTCACAGACGATGAATGGGCAAATTTACCCGAAGTTGGAGATCTTACAGGCAAGAACCGGCGAGCTAGAGATGCTCGGAGGCAGAGATTCTACGCTGTGCCAGATAGTGTCCTAGCAGCTGCTAGTACTGCTGGAGAACTCGGGTCAACGGTGGCAGATGGTGCCGATACCTCGACAAACGATGGCCAGGACGGCACCATGACCAACTTTGCCAAGATTGGAGAGGCCCGAGACAAGGTCCTCCAGGTACGCCTCGATCAGGCATCAGAGTCTGGAGCCTCTGGAAGCTCTACAAGCATCGATCCCAAGGGCTATCTTACAAGTCTGGCCAAGTCATCGTTACCTGAAGGTGCACCCCAAGTTAGCGACGTCAATCGTGTGCGAGAACTGTTGGACTCTGTCATTAAAACGAATCCTACCAACGGTCCAGGCTGGATAGCTGCAGCCAGATTGGAAGAATTGGCCGGAAAGATTGTGGCCGCAAGAAACCTCATCGCCCGCGGCTGCAAACAGTGTCCGAAGAACGAGGATGTCTGGCTTGAGAGTATCCGTCTAAACGATAAGCACAACGCCAAAATTATTGCAGCCCAGGCTATTCAGCAGAATAACCGTTCCGTTCGGTTATGGGTAGAGGCCATGAAGCTGGAGACTGATAGCAGAAGTAAGAAACGAGTCATTCGACATGCGCTCGACCATATCCCCGAGTCCGAGGCTCTGTGGAAGGAGGCTGTGAATTTGGAGGAGGACGAAGAAGACGCTCGACTCCTTCTTGCCAAGGCTACCGAGCTGATTCCCTTATCCGTCGACTTGTGGCTAGCTCTAGCGAGACTTGAGACCCCAGAAAACGCCCAGAAAGTGTTGAACAGGGCTCGAAAGAGCTGCCCCACCTCTCACGAAATTTGGATTGCAGCTGCAAGGCTACAGGAACAACTTGGAAATGCGCACAAGCTTAACGTCATGAAGCGTGCTGTTCAGGTGTTGGCCAAGGAATCAGCCATGCCAAAGCGGGAAGAGTGGATCACGGAAGCTGAGAAGTGCGAAGAAGAAGGCGCTGTCTTTACCTGTGGTCTGATCATCCAAGAGACACTTGGTTGGGGTCTGGACGAGGACGATGACCGGAAAGATACTTGGTTAGAAGATGCTCGCAGCAGCGTCAACAGGGGCAAGTATGCTACTGCGCGGGCGATATATGCGTATGCTCTTCGCGTCTTCCCCACCAGCAAGACCCTCTGGTTGGCTGCAGCGGATCTGGAGCGTAACCATGGAAGCAAGGACGAGCTATGGCAAGTCCTTGAAAAGGCTGTCAATGCTTGCCCAAGATCAGAAGTGCTCTGGATGATGCTTGCCAAGGAGAAGTGGCAAGCAGGCGAGATCGATAATGCTCGTCGTGTGCTTGGTCGCGCCTTCAAGCAGAACCCGAACAATGAAGATATCTGGCTGGCAGCTGTCAAGTTGGAAGCAGAGAATGGGCAGGTCGACCAAGCACGGAAGCTGTTGGAGACAGCCCGAGGCGAGGCTCCTACGGACCGGGTTTGGATGAAGTCTGCTGCTTTTGAGAGAACGCTTGGCAACACTGAAGTCGCCCTGGATCTCGTCAATCAAGCGCTACAACACTTTCCAGCTTTCGCCAAATTGTGGATGATGAAGGGCCAAATATACGACATTGACTTTGACAAGCCTCTCCAGGCACGTGAAGCGTATGCTACCGGTGTCAAGGCCTGTCCGAAATCCGTGCCATTATGGCTACTGTACTCGAGACTCGAGGAGAAGCTGGGACAACTTCCCAAAGCCAGATCCGTACTTGACCGGGCAAGGTTGGCCGTACCAAAGAATGCGGAACTCTGGTGCGAATCGGTTCGCATCGAGCGCCGTGCAGGCAACACCAAACAGGCAGAGACATTGATGGAACGCGCGCTACGTGATGTACCTAAGCCTTCCCAGGGACCTCTTTGGTCAGAGAAGATCTGGCACTTGACAGCGCGGCCTCAGCGGAAACCTCGTGCTCTGGAAGCAATCAAGGAAGTGGATAATGACCCAACTCTCCTCGTCGCAGTAGCACGCATTTTCTGGGGTGAGAGAAAGCTGGACAAGGCACAGAACTGGTTTGAAAAGGCACTAGTTCGTGACCCGGAGTTGGGCGATACCTGGGCATGGTACTACAAATTCTTGGTCGAACATGGCACTGAGGAGAAGCGGGCAGAGGTGGTGTCCAAATGTATCAGTGTCGAGCCGAGATACGGAGAGACATGGACGAGCATCGCCAAGAGTCCAAAGAATACCAGAAAGGACGTGGAGGAAATATTGAAATTGGTTGCCGCTCAGCTGAGCTAAGACATAGTATACCTCAAGAAAGAACCCCCTCTCCAGGGGCCTCTATATATCCATAGTGTATCGCTAGGATATAATCACTGTCTAGCCCAACAAACAGGTATCACTCATGCCTCAATGCTGACCTTGTTATTGTGAAATATGCGAATGTTTCGGGGCTCCTTTCTCAGATCACTTCTGATGACAAACAACAATGGCTCTCATAGCTGGGCCGTCTTTCATTCGGTAGGATCATGGGAGGTTGAGTGATGGATTATTACGAATTCGTCCCGTACACAAGAAACATTGTAAAAGTCACCACGTCTTGGACTCCTTGGAGGAAAATGGGATTGTGTGAGAATGATTCCTGCAATGAAACAGTTACCACGTGTGTCGTGCAAATCAATTCATTACTTGTCCACCCATTTACTCTTTGCTCGCTCTTGTATAATCGTGATCGCATTTCTTTAGTCTATTCACATTATAATTTCATGATTGACGTGATACTGTTCCTTCTTTTCCGTTGCCTTGCTGGCTTTGTTTAGGAATCTTTTGATACTTTTGCTGCGTCTTCTTCTTGTTGTTCTTCTATTGCTTGACCAATAACTACAAGCCGAATAGTTCTGGTTCGGAACCTCAACCCGGCATACAACCAGTGCCGACGCTTCCATTCGTTGACAATTCCACCAGCCCTAGCCGGGTCACTTAATTTTTATTTTTTTTAATCTCTGTTTCATGTTGAATAGATTCTTTCCGGGTGTCACTCTCATTGATGGGGTTTGATGGAGTGAGTAATAGGTAAAATTTTCGTTATGTGATGATGATATGGTTGGCCGTGTGGTCCCATTTTTTTCTTTTTGTCGCAAGAGTCCTGTGCCTTAATGAACAATTACCCAGGCTGATCTCTTTGCCGAGTACCTTTCCGCTTTACCCCGGTTGCTGTTGTGTCTGCCGAGCTCTTGAATATGCTAATGAATATATTTCCCATCTTTGTCTTCCTGTCATGCAATTCATGCAAAAGGAAAAAGAAGAAGAAAAGAAAAACAAGATAAGCAAACTATCGTACTTGATCCAAACGCCCATCCCCCAGGCTCCAGTAAATGCCATGCTTTGATCGCTGAATGTACAAAAATTGGGAACAAAATATAGTGTAAGCGAGACGAATGTCCACAAATGGAATGGCGAGTCAGAGCCACCCGCCCAGACTACAAGATACCGACTTCAAAATCGGTTCCGTTCGGTTTCCTCACCACTGGATCGCTAGCGGAGTTGGGTTTCACCGTCGTCTTGCCCGAGATTGGGATGCTCTTGACTTTTTGGCTTAGCGGCAGGGTGTACTTGAGCACGCCCTTCAAAATAAGGGTGAATTCGTCATTGAGAATACGCTCCCAGCGCTCAGAACCACCATCAGTCCCATTACCCGGTCGGGTCAGACGCAGCTCGCTGGAAGACATTGAATTGCCAGACTGGAAAAACGAGCCCTCAAAGCTCAATGGGCTGTCGAGTTCCATGATGTTTCCGAGCCGCATATTGGGTGACTTCTCGTCAGGGCGGCTTTCATTGTCGTCTCCATCGTCATCGAGTATCTGCATCCCGTCGTGTGGGTGGCGCCACCATTCTGAATCCGTCCCAGCGTGTGGTGATTTTGCAAAGACCTCGATATCTGCTGAATCTACGGACACGACAACGATATTGGGATTGTGCGCCCGAACAGTAATGTCCAACATGAGTTCCTGTTCGCTAGCGAGCACATTTCCAATCTTGACAAGTTCGATGCTCGTCAATGGCTGAGACGTGGCAAACATGAAGCCTACCGCACCCATGATGACCAGCAGTAGCATGATTGTAAGCACCAAGCAGCTCGCAAATCGGTTTAGGAAAGAAGGGCCCTGGTGATAGCCACCAGCTTCGAGGTCGCCTCGGGGTCTCATACCACCAGCACGACGACCTCGGTTTGACCGAACAGATCGATTTCCATTAAGATGCAGCAAAGGCGTACGCTCGTCATCCGCCATTGGCGTCGCGTTATCGTCCAGATCGTAGCCTCCAGCCATAGCCATCTGTCGCTTGCTGTTTTGTATTCCGCTGCGGCCTTGAGGAAAACGAGGACTTGGCGGATTGGATGAATGCCTTGAATGTGTCCCTGCTAGTTTAGATCGTGCTGCATGAGGGAAAGGCGATTCGTTGTCAAAGAGGGACAGGTGGTTGCTACTGTTATTGCGCCCCCAGCGGTTCGCATGGTTGTGATGGCGACCTCCTGCTCGCGTTGAACCAGCGTTGCTGCGACCACTCCCCGTACCCCTACCGTCTTCGTCGCCTGTGAGGCTTTCCGCCGTGTTGCTTCCATAAGTGTTGACAAACTTCATGTTCTTCTTGATAGCAGGATTCACAGGCCCATTCTCGAGAAGACTATGTATGGAGCGTAGGCCGCCCCGATCGGCCTGGCTGACCATGGACGTGGCACTCGGCGTGCGAGAATGATATCGGCGCGGTCTATCCGGTGCGTCTGGTGGGTTAGAATCATACACAAACGTCTCATCAGAGTCTGACGAATTCGCCTCTTCAACGGCGCTGGCAACCTTGGCCTCGAAAATGTCTGCTTTTGAGGATGCTGGACGGGGTCCTCCTGTCAGTAAATTGGTTACATGGGCGGTTATACTTGGAGTGCGCGATGCCTTCCTTGAAAGCGGGTGCGAAAGCACTGCATCCTCCCCATACGACCCTTGGCCGTGCTTCGGCTGGACAGGCGAGCGACAAGATATCGAGGATGCCAAGGATCTTATCGAACGACTGTGCCGAAGCTGGGATGCTGGTCTCGTTGCAAGAAGATTTGGATTCTCACCAGTGCCAGAAGCCACCGACGCTGCTTTCCTTGTCGGCTTTCTCTTCTCTTTCCTCGGCCTAATTGTTTCCGAACTTGGTTTCGTCTTCAGACTGCCATTACCAACTTGATTCGTGGTCGTCAAGCCCAAAGCCAGGCGAGGACCAGAGCTGACCTCCTCCTCCTCGACGGTAATGTGTTTCGAAGGATCAGCCAACAGCCCCTTGTTGCCGCCGAACCGCAAAGCCGAACTTGATTGCCTAGTCTGCAGTGAGGGCGGTGCAGCAGCTGCCCCAGCAGCAGGACCCAGTATCTTTGAGCCGCGTCTTATACTTCCGCTGTCGCTTCCACTTTCGCTGTTGCTACCAGATTTGACTGCTCGGTGGGCAGCCGACTCAGAGCCCAAGGGCTGACCTTGAGACAGCCTTTCCAGGGCTAGATTCAAATCCGCACCTGGTGTACCGGGTTGGCTGACTTCCTGTACTGTTTCTAATTGTGACGAACCACCGCTGGGCCCTCCAACCGGCGTAAGCATGCCTGATGGTGTTTCCGCAGCATCACCTTCAGTATCCGAAGCAACCTGTGATGCCGGTTCAGAAGCAAGCGGGTGTGGGTGCGGCGATGGTGTCGCTCTTTGCAAATTAATCATGGGGGGCTCTCGTTCGTTCCTTGCTGGCGGAGGAGGGAAAGCGGGCTTGTTGAGTTGCGGCGGTGGTGACTTGAGGCGGGGCGATACGGGCCATCGCGGCGAATCTCTCGATTTCCGGTCCGTGTTCGACGAAGGCTTCCGCGGCTGTGATGAGTCTCGAGGCGCGTCTGAGCCAGATGGGGGTGGTAAAGTAGGCGTGGTTGCGGCAGATATCGACTGCTGTCGCGGCGCCGATGTTGGTCCCCTGTTGGAGTTTTGTCTTGTCCTGGACGGACTTGGGTCGTTAAAACTACTCTTGCGTGATCTGCTGGCAGATGCACGGCCTGGTCTAGGCGGTTTCGCGAACGCCCTGGTGGGAGAGCTTTCTCTCGAGGCCATGGGTGAGGCCGTCAAGGAAGTCGTCGCTGAAGTCCACCTCGAGGGCTGTGTATCGACGTTTGCACTCGAAGGTGCTGATGTTTCTTGGTCGACCGAGTTCAGGCTGTAGGTGCTATTCTCCAGCCCGGAGCTGCCATCGTGCGGCAGCGTCCCCGACCGCTCCATGGTAACGGGAGATTTATTACTGGATCCAGATTTGGTAGGGAATGTGGTATCCACGTCTGATTCCGACAACTCATGCCACAGTGCTCCAGAAAAGTTTTAGCTTGAACGATTGTCGATCGTTTGACACCATTGGACCATGTTTGGCGTCAAACGTTTGGCGCATGCGACTCGACTGAGAGACGACAGGCTGCTTGTCCAAGCGGTCGAAGCTGAGAAGGTATTGTAGTAGTAGGAAAATATCTACTATGCCCGTTTCTCTTTCTCTCTCCCCTCTCTACTAGGCGGTGTCCCTTTGATGTTGCCGTCCTATGAGTGGCTTCTTGAGCTTCACTTTACTTCTACTCGCGTCGCCGACTTGAGAGGTCTGATCGGTAATATGCATAGATTATTACCAGGGTGGATTGGCCGGTGCACGACTGTATGGACGCAGAGATCGATTGGGTGGGTATCCGGTGGGTGGAAACAGCAGCAGCAGTTGTTGTTTTTGTTGTTGTCAGTCCGGACAGACAACCGAAGAGGTTTAAGTCGAAAGAACGCGCGGGTGGTGCAGCAGCAGCAGGTCCAGTAGTTGCATATGCCAGACAGACAGATGCTGGGGTTGTAGTGAGCGAGTCTAAGGCAGGTAGGGTTTTGTTTTGTGAGCGTGTCGTCGTCTGGTTGACTGTGGATGACGTCCAATGTGGAGTTTTTGTTTTGCTGGGCGGAAGTGTGGTGCGTGGTACTACGGGGACACCGGCTCGTTCGTGGTTGTAGCGCAGAAGCTGCTTTTCTCTCTTTTTTTTTTCCACCCTCTGGTTTTGCTCTTTTGTGGAACTTGGACTGTCTTTTATTGCTTTCTGGTCGTTGTAATATCTCGCTTGCAAATATGCGCTAGAATGTTATGCAGTTCATTCGAATCTTCGCGCAACATGTATAGATGTGCTCGTTTTGTTTTGTTTTTTTGGTACGAGGGATGTCGTGACAGGTAAAGAAGACTACCGACAGACAGGTCAGGTATTTGCAACGTGCGCGCTGGGGAATCGCTAATCCTTTTTCTTCTTCTGTTGCAATGGGGGTTTGTTGAGAAAAATAGAACAATGAATTGTCGAGACAGGAAAGAGACAAAAGCGGTAGCAACCCAAAAGGCTGCGTCTACATACGTACTATTATCAATTACAGGCAACATTCAGTACGACTGAACTGGAACTTTTGGGGGGCCAGAAACGGGGCCGTTGGTGAAGGTACCAAAGCAATGTATGTGATTGTACGTCAAGGCGACCAGCTAGTCTAGCTGCAGCCGAGGAAGTCAGATCGACGTTCGTTGCATATGACCAAGTAAGTAATAATAATAGTAGTAGTGTAGTAGGTAGGTAGGTAGGTAGGTACGGTACTCTTTAGAGAGAAGGTACCGTTAGGTTACAGTTGGGCAGTCTCGGTACCTGAGAAAATAATTTAGGGAAATTTCAGAAAAACAAAATTACAACGCCAGTCGAGATTTGGTCTGGATCTGGAAGGGAAATGGAAGGGAAATCCGTTCAAGCGGCCTGTGAGAAGTAATTTGACACAGAGTCACCATGACCCCCGGCTTGTTTCTTGTTCGGGTGGCAGGGGGAACATATGATGTATTTAGGTGAATTTAGTACCGAGACAGTCGATGGTTTTAAAGACTGGGCGACGGCAGCAAGCTTGAACCAGCCATTTTCCAGGTACCTACGTACATTACTACCTGCGCTACATACCAGCGAACCGCAAAGAGGGAAAATGATAATAAGAATAAAAACTTTTTTAAAAAAAAAAAAAGGTACCGATCAAGATCAGGGCGGGGGCCGTTACCACCTAGTCCTTGCGTGTCCACTCACTCTTCAAAGACCAGAAGCCAACGACTTGCTCAGCACTTAACTTAGCCAGCCACTTTGGGGGGTGCGGGTCAGACAGCGACAGAGGGAAGAACAAAGAAGCAGAAGAAAATGCTGCTGCGGGATGGGACCTGACTGAAGGACAGGGGGGGTTTTTGACAGACAACAACCCATGTCTCCAGTGCTGAGATGCTGGAACTCGACTAGGGCCGATCAGAACCTTGGCCTTTTTTTTTTTCACAGAGGATTTCGAGATCCCCCCGCGGGTACCTGGTCCTTTGCACTGCAATGATTACCACACCCATTCTCTGTAGAGAATCCGTCGTTGTTCCGTTGTTGGTCTACTGCATGTACCTATTGCATGTTACAACTACTGATCAAAGTAACATGCCTCACTTCGCAATTGCGTTGACGATTCGGAATCGGACCATATGCAGTAAGGTGTGTGAATGAGGTCTCTCGCTTCATTCTGCCACAGCCCGACCATCAGTGGTCCATGACAACAAACCTATCTGGGCTCGTTTTCTTGTTCTGTTTTGCTTTGTTTTAACACCAAAATCACACGCAGGGCGTCAATATACAGGGCAGCAATGACAGTCCGTCAGCATTACATGGAGTATGTACACATGCATTGTGAGAACGACCTATTTGCGGCCGGCCCACCAATGCATCTCGATGGGGACGATTTCTGGGCTGTGAGTGAGTTGGCAGTCCTTGGTCATTTATTTTTCTGCCACCAAAAAATGAAAAGGCCAGGGCCATTCATGTATGGGCACTCCATAGGTTCAGGACAGGCAACAGCCAGCGATGCGGCTGTAGATACATTGTTTATAGAGAGGTATTGCTTAGGATCATGCTTGTTCGGGGCTCAGTGCTCACCAACTTCAGGGGCCCAGAGTATTATGGGCACGAGGTGACCAGAGACCAAAATCCAACAAGGGATGGTTGACCTCGTCGTTGTTCCCGAATTGCCATGGCCAAGGAGAAGGGCTCGGGTCCGGCTGAACATTGATTGTTTTTTTTTTTCTTCTCTATTCTCATTGCTACTAATGCCCAAAAGACAGGTAGAGACGCCCTACCTTCAAGGTTGTTCCCGTCAGACAAACACGCAAATCCGTCAAGGGCAAGCAATCGAGCGCACTGACTGCATATTCTTCTCGCAGGCTTTGCCCCCCAAGTCTAACTCTCCCCAGCAAGCCAGCGGCGTACATGACCTACCAAGCCGCAACTTGAGACGAGGACGTGCATTGGGGTCTCCGCACAAACACGCTTGGGGGAATAGCTAACCCATCCGGATGACCACTCTTTCTCCTCACCAGACTTTGGGATTGAGGTGGCTGGTGTCGGGGGTACTGTGGTGTAGACTATAGTAGTCGCTACGCAGCATCTCGGCTGTGGATGCGGCACTACAACTGTGAACCCGTCCTCAACAGCATGTAAGTACAAGGAAGACAGATGAGGAGGTAATGTTTGTGAGGAGGTACGTAGTAGTATGTATGGAGTCGTGGGCATTATGTATGATCACTGCCTTCTTGCAGCAACTTAGTAATATCCAATATCCTCCTCAATCGTACAGTAGCCGGATCGCCGGATCCGTTCTTTCCCCTCTTTCGAATCACGTCTAGACTCAAAAACGGCCCATCGGAAGCTTCTATCAAAGTCCGGATTGTACGAGACAGTTGACGAGGATATTACAAAAAACTATTCGAGACGTGATACCAGCATGCCGAGGTTGGCCACCGGAAGTACGGAGTTGGAGTTGGCCATGGTAGGTACGTACGTCAGTATTGATATGTTCTTTGACCTCCAACGGCTTCTTCCAGCATGCAGTCACGGGGTAATTACGTGGACTTGTGTGTCTTGAAAAGTTCCCAGATTCAGAAATACATGTTTCTTACGAGTAGCACATCATGACACTACCACAAAACACTCATTCGGACGGCGCCGCATCGGGAGACATGGAGATGTTGGAGAATAAATATGTGATTGATCAGGGTCTCCTCATGACCGATGCTGTACACCGCATGCCCAAGATTGCTAAATCGACAGTGCACAAACAAAGAAGTTTATTAGCCATCTTTCGCATAAAGTCCCAGCTGAGGCGATAGAAAACGAATTCCGCCATGCGCTCCGATGCTACGAAGCCAGACTCTCATCGACCCTTGGGTTCGCGATATACCTGACTTGGTCAGACAGGACCTGCTCGGTACTTGGCTCATGGCGCACTGGGTATATGCGCAGGCAAGTCTCTCGTGGGTATTTTCCAATTGACCGCAAGTTGCCTCGGACGGACTATTTCCTCCACTGAAGACGCCAACAGCTCAGTAAGGCTTAGCCTGTCGGCGGCCCTGATCCCCCGAACCGCCCTACCGTCCTTCTAAACCACTACCGTTGTTCTTCTAAGCAGCTTCTAACGCCAACGCCAATGCTGCTCTCGTCGTTTGGGCTCGTCTACACTTTTCGCTCTCCACTTGGTCGGTATTGTCAGTGAAATAGGCCAGCTTCGCTTGCAGAAGCCTGGGCCCCCAAGATTGCAAGCACTACCTACCGCCCTCTCGTTTTTTTGGTTTCTTCCTTTCTTCCTACGTATGAGACATTATCGTCTATCCGTCTCCCGACAGCACTGGTTCCTACTTCTAGCGAGTTCCATGCCGAGCTCCCGGCCTCGGTCAGCCAAAGAGACATTCGGAACTTGCTGGTAGGTACTGTCGCTACAGCTGTAGTATTATAGTGTGTGCGGGATGATTGATGGACGGCTTGCACGCATGTTCGGATCCCCCCTTGCCCTACTATGTAGTAAGAAGAATGTGCATAGGTATGTGCATACATTGCAACCATAAGCTCGACTTCTTCAATGTCGATATCCCTTGTTCCCTTTGCCTAGGGGGGTTCCATCGCGAACGGATGAGAAATGTCTCACCCGGTGGATCGGACACCCATCCACCTATCCGGGTTGGCGACACGGGAAGAAAGAGAAAAAGGCCAGTCCGCAACCAGCTTGGTGTAATAAAAACCGTGTCCGAAAGGATGACTTGTGATTCCAAAAAGGGCGAGGAAACCGACACACCTTTGGGCACTCAACCCTGTCGCATCTCTAATGATGAATGAAAATAGACGCAAGAAATGCCGGTCAGATGAGGAAGGAACAGATCCTACTCAGCCTTGCCCTGGCCTATAATAATAGCTACTGGCTTCAGCTGCCCTCCCACACGTAGATACATTACCTATAACATGACATTACCGGACGAAAGAAAAAAAGAAGCAGGCGTCTGGCCTGTCGGTGTCGGCAACGTGGCACGCTCCCATGCATCTTCCGGGACGCAACGCTTCTCGCTTCAGCTGCTCGTGCCCAAAGGCTTACTCTTATTCCACGGCAGTCGGAGACAATGGGTACGAAGTAGAGCGCACTCTGCTTTTTGGTGGGTTTTTGAATTTCGATGAGACACCCGGCGCATCTAGTACCACATACAATTACAGGCTCTAGGAGGGCTGACTTCCCTTTTTGACATACTGATGCCCGATGCCCAGCTTACTTCTTTCTGAGATTGCCGGGAAACTCATTCCAGTGACCGCTTGGGTCGTCCGTTATCTTCTTGTCTGGTCTCGCTCGGATCTCCTTGACAGGCGACCGGACGGCGCAATTGTCCATTTTCTGCCTACGGCAGAATTCGTGCCAAATTCTCACCACTGCCGCGCAAGTCATCTAAAAAAGCATATAGAAGGAAAATAAGACAGCGGCAAGGCGGGAGCATCCGGCCGCATGCTGCTTTTAACGTTGCTCTCATTTACCCGGCTCGCGCATTGCTACTCGTGTACCACGCGTAGTGTAATAAACCTAAGCATCTATCAAGGTGTGATCTTGTGCTCACGTTCAAAGTTCAAACGGCGGGCACCGAATATGATACCTGGATACCAAATCTATTTTCTCCCTTGATTTATCTATCTGCCTAAGATAGTCTTGTCAAGTCTCCCGGCGCCAGGTGCGGGCCGTCAGCGGGATTCTAACTTACCTTCTTTTCAAGTGAACGGCTCCCAGCAGGGAGGTGGGTGTGGTGAGCAGGTGCTCGGGTTTTCTTGGTAACTGGGATGGGAAACTTGGATGTGTCAGATATCACACTTTTTGGGTCAATGGCACGGTCATCTGTCAGGAACCCGCGACTTTCATAGGCCACCCACGTGAAAAAAACGACCGAGTATTGGACAAACCGCTTCCCTTTATTTTATTTTTACCGGTATTGATTGCATGCGCTTCCCTTGCAGGTTTGTTGTCCGTGGCCCAATCCCACGTTTCCCTTGCGCCTTGCCCACCGGTCGATTCGCTCCGAGGGGAACAGATGAGAAGATGAGACGGGTGTCCCCTCCATTGGGTTTTGGGGGTCGGTTGTAGGTTCTGGGTTCGCTTGGACGACCATCATCATCATCATCATGATCATCATCAACCCCCCTCCCCCTCCCCCTCCCCCGAAAACAGAAAAAGCAGAACCCAGAACCCAGCTGTTTGGTGTTGGTGGGCGCTCTAGCGCGGGGGTTCGCCCGTTGTCCCACGACATACTGCGTACAGTGGATTACCCATACATTTAGACATACTCATGACCTGTTGCCACTGACGGTATGCAAGCAGCTCTTCTCTTATTATTTTTTTTCTCGGCTGCTCCCGACCCAAAAGAGGCAGCACACTTTGCGTGCGCGCTACTTCTGGCCTTGTACAAACCTGATCTACATGTATCTGTGCCCACTCAGTTGTTCCCAAACTGCTCACGAGGACTGCCTTTGTTTCTATTGTCTGTGACGTGGCGAGTGTGTGCATCCAGACTCGGAAGGTCATCCATAGACTTGTGCGAACGACGATTGGTTCGCGCCACAGAGTAGACTTCTCTAATAGGCAGTGTCGTCATATCCCTCTTTTTATTATTACTCAAAGTCTAGATCTTTTGCTTATTCGAATAGTAAGCCACTACATGACCAATAGATACAACGTTGTGTCACAAAAAAGGGCCTTTCCTTGAGAAACGGCCACCCATCCACTACGATTGTGGCTGGTGCCTAGTGATGTGGTTGACGACGTTGAATGATGCTGCCGCCGCCTGCTGATGCTGCCATGACTGAAAGGACCATTTGGATCGCGATCCTGCGCTGTACTGTACTGGCCTTGTTCGTGTCGAAAAGACATCGTCATATGTCTCATCACAGCACTCGTCTTCCATGAAATATGCAGAAATGCCGACTGGTCGAGAACATGGCATCTCATCTGGAATACCCCGGAGTTAAGACCACCAGCAGTGCTACCAAGAGGAGGCCCTTGGCATCTCTTGAAGGAGCCAGTCTGCAGATTTCCCTTGTACCACGCTGACTTTGAGAGCCATATTCTCGGATATTTCTTGTCCATGCCCTTGGGCCGGACCATATGGGAGTGCAAATATGCGTCCTTACCATCATACCTGCTGATCTTATCTATGATGACATCAAAAAAAGAAAAGAGAGTCAATCATTAGTGCAAGCATTGCGTAGCCGACCAGGCCAAACGTGAGTATGAGACGCAAATGAGGTGATGCGATAGATTGTAGAGGGTATCAATATTCATTCAAGCTCTCTCATCGCTGACGAGTGGTTGTATTGGTTATCGAAATATCTTCTAGATCTGGCGAGCGTCAATTATGCAGAAGAGGCTGAGAACGTATTCCCTCTTTTGGTATACATGCAAATCTAAGCTATAGGATAGAGAGCATACAGCGATAAACGGAGAACACGTCTCAGACTAACATCTGGTGTCCCTGTCCAGCGCATATGGCACTGACCATGATCATTTCGCGGCTATAGACCAGACATAATGTACGTGTGATAGAGTGCTTCATGTGCCGACCGTAAATACAGCAACATCGATCTGAATATATATTAAACTACCTCTTGTCAAATAAACTTCAACCAGCAAGTGATCCAAATTCACTCTCGAAAAAGTCCAACCCCTCAAACACAGCCCGGCCGTCCCTGTCGTCGAGCGGCACCGACTGCTCCGGCGAGGCCATGATGCCTTCGAAAAAGGACGTATGCGCCGACAGACGACGTGTCTGCAAATAAAGAATACCAGGCTGGCCCGGTTTCCTGGCTGCCGTCGCGGACCGTCCGGGTGTGGCTGTCGTCTTGGCTTGCAGGAGGAATACAGTGAAGAGAACGGTCCATAGCGCCATTGCTACGGTGAAACCGAGCAGAATCACGTTGATAGTCCGGTGGCGTACGGAAGGGGCTTTGTCTTGGGTGTCGGCTTCCGGCTCGAATTCGAATTCAGGCTCGTACTCGGGGTCGAGTTCAGGGTCATCCTCGAGCTCGGGCTCAGGAGAGGGGGAAGGAGGAGGCGGTGGTATGGGAGGACTCGCCGGACGTTTTGGCGGAGGGGTAACAGAACGGGGCGGAGTTGATGGCGCTTCAGATGATTGTTCCGCTGGATCGTCGTCCATCGATCCCGGCGACTGAACAATATCCGATGGGTTCTCGGTGAAGAAATCATCAAACTCGTCCGAATACACTGGTGTGATGAACGGGATCTTGTTAGTCTCTTTCATTTCTTGCGCTTTCGAACCAGTCTCTTCTGGTACAGGCTCTGCTGATGCAGACTCTCTCGAGAGATGTTCCTCTCCCTCTACAACAGATTTTGATCGATCACTCTCAGAAGATGACATATTATCCAGCAGAGGCTCCAAGCCACCGGTGAGCGTCTCGTACTGGTTGGCCATGTTCCAAGGCGATCCGTCCCCGTGAGCATATTCTTCCCCAATCGCCTCTTTCATTGGTGCCTCAGGAAGCGTCCAGTCTCTGATTCTAAAATTTGTGGTCTCCTCCAACAAGTTACCAAGTAATTGTAATTCTTTCCTTTTCCACCTCAGCTCGAGCGCCCGCTTAATGACATAATTTTGTTGTATCGTCAGGTCCAGCTCTCCATCGTGCTGCACGCTGAGATGTCGCAGGCCGAGCAGGTATTCATCGTTGAGATCCTTGGTGTTGAGGACCGATTGCACCAGACTAAACAGCGAGCCCAGCGCAGCCTCCAGGGCCGGCCTGGTAGAATCTGGGTCCCAGGACTTTGATTTTGGATACCACGGCAGCTCAAGGAATAGCGCTCGCCGCATTCTCAAGACTGTAAAGGCCAACCCCCACATGTCGCACTTGATTTTTTCCCAACCCAAGACAAAGTCCTTGTCGGAAGGTGTGTTGGAATCACGAGCAGGCTCGTTCATGGTGAGCGCAACCTCGACGTCGGTCAGGACGATCCTGGGTTTCAACGGTAGCCGCTTTAATCCTCGTGTCGGAGCTGTCAAATACTTTGGAGCGTGCGACTTGGCAAATTCGCCATCACTCTCGTCGGCAGGTTTGACTGGGAACGTGATTGGCGTTCCCAGCACCAGCAACATGTCATCGATAGGGACGTCCCCAACGTCGATGGTCTGTAGAAGATTACCGGGATGGACTCCTCCGTGATGGATTCCGAGAGAATGGAGAGCACGTAGGCACATGACCACCTGTTGTAGATACTTTTCCTGCCTGTCGGCCGATTCATCTTCGTGATGGGTGATTTTCGGGCCGAGCAGGGGAAGCACCAAGCAAAGATGCCGGCCGTTCGGACTGTCCACCCACACGCCATCATCAGGAAGCAGGAAGCTCTTAGATTCGAAGAGCTGAGGCTGGGTCTCAATGGCCACCTTGGCTTGCTCATAGCACAACGCCGCCTTCGCCGAGCAGCTAGCCTTGAAGATTTTGATGGCCTTCCATTCGGGCGTGATGAAGTTCACGGCAAGCCATACCGTGGCAAGCCGGCCGTGGCCCAATTTATGATAGACTTTGAATTGCCCAAGTATTTCGTCGCCAACATCCACGGGGTAGAAACCTCCCGGCCGGTAATCTTCAATGTTCTCTAGAAATTCTGCCCCTATTTCATCCTCTAGTGTCTGATATCTGGGCGTTGACGGCGAATCGACTTCATCGGCACCAAGGACATGCTTCAACGTTGGTCCTCCATTGGCACTGACAAAGATATCGAGCAGTGATTGTTTCTCGCTTTCGCCGCCAATAGCGTCGGCGCCCTGATCGACATTTGCCATCGTATAATCAATTCGGTAATGTTATACTGAGTACGAGAAGAACCAGCAAACTGGTCAAGAAATGCTTGTCAAGTTACCCTGGGGAAATTAGCATCTTCTTGACAATACAATTCACTGTCAGGAGACACATGCTAGTTGAGAGGTGTGGGCGCCTGTCACAAAGGTACTTGCTGCTTTCGATGGAATGTGCCTTGACGCTTCCGGCCAGGCAAAGCCGCACCACACACCACAGCCGGCAAAAAATTACCTTGGCGAATAGACAAAGATGACCAGGCCTAAAAAGTAAGCAGATAGCGAAAATGGACAATGCAAATTGATACAAAGATTGCATCTCGCGCTTTGGGGTATACCTGGTTGTTAGCAACAACTGACATGCGTGAATATAGAAGTCCAATCGACAGTTGAACCTGACGTATGATGCGTTGAGAACGTTGCACTTTGGACGCAACTCAGAAGTACTTGAAGTTTTTCTTTATTTACACATATCTTGCTTTTAGGATATATGTTGTCCCCAATCAGATTCGCTACTGGGAGTCTTGTTCTTTTCCTTAGAACAAGTCATCAATGCTCTTGTCGGCATCCTTCTTGATGAGATCAACCATGCCCTGCCATTATGTATTAGTGCCTTGCCTGAGCTATCACTGTTGACTTGAGCTACTCACCTCGGGCATGATTGGCTTGCCGTCCTTGTCCTTTACATATCGGAACGGCATCTGAGTGCTTTCATGTTCGCTGAACTTCAGGTCGGGGTGGTCCGTGTAAGGGATGTTACCAAGGGTATCTTTCAGGCGTCAGTATCATGGCATTGTATTGATTGTGCTAATTGAATACTCACACTGCTCCTCAATGACCATTCGCGTCACTCGGACAGCGGTGTCTGTTGTCATCTGAACTGGCCCAAGTCTGCGGCCAGTGAAGCCCTTCTTGCGGAGCTCAGAAGTGCGGTCTTGAGGATGAATATCGTCAGTCTTGTACTTATTCCTGCTCGATCCAGCTTCCTGGCGTCGTGATATTAGAACTCACCACGAGGCGGGTCGTCTCCTATCACATGGTTAGCAACTCTTCCATCTCTACGAGTTTTCAGACGGCCAACGAAACTCACCCAAGATTCCTCCAAACAGGAAAACGTCAAACTCGCCCTTGTCGTCGGGGTTCAGGTCCTTGTCGGCGGCCGGGTCCAGCAGGCAGACTCTCTCCTTGCCGTTGCCCTCGGGGTACATTTCCTCGACGCCGCGGCGCTCGGCCTTGAAGGCGGGCTCCTGGGCCAGCTTCTCGGGCACCTTGAAAGCGTCGGGCAGCGACGAGAGCACAAAGGTCGCCTTGGCCTCGCCCGACTCGCGCGCAATGGCAATGTACTCGAGCTCCGACCATGGGCCCAGCTCCGGGTCCAGGTGCTCTACAATGTAAGTGTGGTGAATCGGCATTTTACTTCCCAAGGCGGCAGTGCTAGTGCTGCTGCTTATTGACTACCAGGTAGGCTGTGGGAAATGGGAGATTAATAGGTGCCGCCGGTAGAGCAGTGAGTGGACTGTGTAAGTGAGCCTATATCTAAGACTACCTGAAAAATTGGTCTTGATACTGCTTTGGGAAGGAAGGTAGGGTTCCAAGCCAAAGTGACGTATTCGGTGCAGGTCTAGCTAGCTTCTTGTCAGTCTTTGATTGAGCTGTTGAATGAGAATGGCTTGATCTGAATTCATGACTTGTCTCTTGAGCAGTCATTGAAATTTCTTACCTGGTCTTTTATGACTCTTTTTTGACTGTTTGCAAGTTTTGCCTCGGGTGAGGAGTTTCCATGCATGGATTTTTTGAGATCGACGCGGAATTTTAGTGTACTTCGTGGATCTAGACCTTCTGCCGCCTTGAAGCTTCAGTATGTACATTTGTCCACTCATTTAGCCATCCCTTGGCTGAAAATCGCCGTCGTCACTCTAATCTTGTTTTGATTGAGCAAAGTTTTAGTTATGTAGGAACATGATCATGATTGCATTCTTGGTGAAAAGGTGAAGGTTTATTATATCTGGTAAATCTAGTGTTCCTCTGCCTTGGGAGCAAACCCCATCGAGCGTCTTCGCGCCGACATAGGTACAACCAAGTGCGTAAAGCATTGTGCAAACTTCTACCTAGGTACATACCCATTTGAACGCCGTACGCCTATTGCCAAACCGTGTTGTAATGTTGATACATAAAGAATCATTGAAAAATGAGTGAGCATTCTGCCGTGGTTAACGTCCGCCTACTAAGCACCGGACTTGCGAGCCCGTCTTTTGGTCGGGCGACTCGAGCCACCTTTGGGCCTATAGCCGCCATCATCGTCTCGCTTCCTCTTGCCTCTGGCGCTGCTGAATGGCTGATCGTCATGTGCAGCCTCCTCATCATATTCGTTGGATTCGCCTGCCTCCTTGCGGTGGGCGGCGCTCTGTCTCTTGTTGCCTCGCGCGGCACCGCCCTTGCGCTTACCGCCGCCGTCCTCGTCATGATGCTTCTCGCGGTCCTTCTCCTTCTCCAGATCTTGAAGGAAGGTTTTGGGGGCATGTCTGCGAAGCCAGTTGTACACACTTGTAGGGTTTCTAAGCGCAAAGTTGGTTGCCGACTTTCTCAGGTCAGTGGCAGGCGGTGGGACTGCCGGCTTGGCCTTGAGCCCCAGGCGCGAGTCGATCTCGGCAATGTAGTTATCAACATCGGCGGCAGTCAGGAATGCAGTCGGGTAGACGTCGGGATCATCAGGCTGCAACTCTTCAAGGATCTTGGGGAAGCTGTCCACAATCTCGGAGAAGCACTGATGAGGCACCTCGTCGACGAGACGCCTCAGGGACTTTGTAGGCCGCTGCATGGGCTCTTGCTCATCGTCTGTGTAGTTATCACCATCGGGGTCGAGGTTGATCTTTCGCTCCGGCGGGATCTGGGGGGACTCGTTGATGTCTAGTAGCACGTCCATCAAGCGGCTGCATCGCGAGTTAGCACCATTTGATCATATTCGCAAAAATACTTCGGGTCGCGGGCATGGCATACTCATTCTCAACGGCTAGGCGCTTCATTGTGCGAATGGCCTTTTGCTCCTTCTTGTGTAGCTCTTCGCTCTCCAGAACGTTCTGATCAAACTTGAGGCGCAGCTTCCGGTACTTCTTCTTGTAGGACCGGTATGACGGCTTCGACTCGCCAGCGTGAGCTCCATCGTGGCCGCGGTCGCGGTCGCGATGAGCCAAATCAGTCTTGCTGTGTCGGTCATCCATGGCGGAAGAGGCAGATGGGCGCCGACTCGATCGCGCGGCCGGCGGTGGTAGTGATTGGGGACAACGCAAGGCTATTTGGGGGGGGGAAACAATTGAGGTGGAAGGGATAAATTGTGGTGCAGCTCAGCGGAGCGTCGTCGCCGATAATGCAAGGAAAGGAAAATGATGATGAAGGGAGATCAGATGCTTGCTGGCCGCCAAAGCTGGCAGGAGGCGTTGGCAGTCTAAGCACTGATTCCGCGTTTGAAAACTGAGGCCATTCATTTCTGGCCAGCCTGACTAACCTAAACCTCTGGCTGCTGCTGCATCATTCTGGCGTCGCGTTCCTGGCACAGCGAGTGAGGAAGGGGTGGGATTTCCCCAATTACATTTGCTAAGGACACGCCGACGGTCAGTGCAGTGTTGTTAGCAACCATTCATAAATCGACGCCCCGCAATGCATACCTAGTACCTAAAAATGTAGGTATCCAACACCTTGATTGAGCATAATACAGCTTATCCCTACATGTTCTATACCAAAATTTTACAGACGACATGACGAAAGCAGACGCGCAAATATTGCGCTTGAATATAGAACTGACAATCAGCTTGCGCTTGACCAAACTGGAAACATCTCAGGCCCGAACCAGCCCATATGGATACAGCATAGCCACTTCAACCAGCGACCATTTTATACTCGGAAGAAAGTGTATTCAGATAAATCAAGATGTGGGAGTGGTGGACAATGAAGTCAAACTCAAGACTTCTAGCAGGAGCTCATACTGGCCAAACGATTTACCAAATTGGTACCTTGATCTTGATGTGTCCAGCTAGGCCGGAGCCCTTTTAGCACCACGTCTTGTCTACATGTGCATGTCTGTTACCTTGTGTTGATAATAAGAAGAAGAAGAAAAAATCGGCCCAACAAACATCATCTTTCAGAGTGCTGTATTCAACCTAAAACCGGGACCATCTAGCCTGGCATCGTCTTTGGAATAGTTCAAGTGATCTTGGGGAAGAGTCAATCAAAATGGTTGACCAAATAAGATACGGGGCCATGTCTTGGGTCTATAAATCAATGTTCTCTTTTTATAATAACTCTTGCAAGTGAAGCCACAAGAACAAAACACAAATACTTGTACTGAATATACTCTATTTCCCAAGATATCAGGGCTCAATAATATGTAATTTGCGGGCAATGTTAGTCAATGGGCTTGGAGGGCAAAAAGACGTTTAGAACCCAGAGTCAACTGCCTGACAGTCTTCTTTCATCTACAGCACGTAAAACTGATGTACATTCCAGAGAAGAAAATGACAGATTTCCCGCCTGTATTGCTGCCACTGGTTCACCGAAGAGCGTTGGCTGATTCATCATGGAATGAAGATGGAGAACTTGCGAATCTCATCATTAGCAACTAGAGATCATCTATTGGACGTCCCTAGGCCCCATAAGCTTAGCGATGAAGCTAATAGTCAGTATAGGCATACGGCAATGTTGTATTGCAATGAACTCTTCATGTCTCACCAAAAGCGATAACTTTGATTGAGATGCGATTAGAATTGATCTTGAATCATCTTAGTTGATATGTTACTAGTATAATAATCTCCAAATATCATTCTTTCTGAGCTGTTATGAATACACCATTCTGGGGTTAGAGAAACCTCAGTGGTTGGAGCCCCAGTTCTAGATCTCCAGGGACCAATCAACCCCACCACAATTGAGATCGATAGTGAAACTTCCTACACCTACCCACCTTGAAAACCAAGACGACTTCTTCATTTACCTTCGCACAACGAAAGAAGGGAATTTTTCTTCAGATCGAGAGACAGAGTCACCATAGTCTTGGTTCTCGTGTCTGACTTTCAACTGCTTCCCGAATCAGACGTCAATCCATCGTATGCTACGCACCCTCGCCAGAATGGCTGAAAGCGCATCCAAACGCCTCAAGACCGACGGCGGCGTCACCATTGGCACGCACAATGGCCACTTCCACGCCGACGAGGCCCTGGCCGTCTACATGCTGCGGCTGCTCCCGGCCTACGCCGGCTCGGCGCTGGTGCGCACGCGCGACCCGGCCCTGCTCGGCGAGTGCCACACCGTCGTCGACGTGGGCGGCGAGTACGACGCTGCTGCCAACCGCTACGACCACCACCAGCGCACCTTTGCCACGACATTTCCCGGCCGCCCGACCAAGCTCTCGAGCGCCGGTCTCGTCTACCTCCACTTTGGCCGCGCCATTGTGGCCCAGCAGCTCGCCAAGCCCGAGGACAGCGACGAGGTCGGTCTGCTGTGGAACAAGATTTACGAGTCCTTTGTCGAGGCTCTCGACGCCCACGACAATGGCATCTCGGCCTATGACCCGGCGGGCATCGCGGCCGCGGGACTCGAGAAGCGCTTCAGCGAGGGCTCCTTCACACTTGGCGCCGTTGTCGGGCGTCTGAACCCCAACTGGAACGACCCCGTGCCCAGCGATCCGGTCGAGGCGCAGGCCGCCGAGGACGCCCGGTTCGCCGCCGCCAGCCAGCGCATCGGCGAGGAGTTCTCGCGCGACCTTGAGTACTACGCCAAGGCCTGGCTACCCGCGCGCGAGATTGTGCGGGCCGCCTACGAGAAGCGTCTCGAGCACGACCCCGAGGGTCGCATCATGGTGCTCGAGGGCCAGAGCGTGCCGTGGAAGGACCACCTGTACTCGCTCGAGGAGGCCGACGGCACCGGCAAAAAGGTTCAGTACGTCCTCTACGCCGAGAAGCCTGTCCCCGATGCCAAGTGGAGGATACAGGCCGTGCCCGTCTCCAAGGACTCGTTCCAGAGCCGCAAGCCGCTGCCCGAGCCTTGGAGAGGTGCCAGAGACGAGGCCTTGGACCAGATCACCGGCTTCCCTGGCGGTGTGTTTGTGCATGCCGCAGGTTTCATTGGTGGCCACAAGAACTTTGAGGGCGCCAAGGCCATGGCTGCCAAGGCTTTGACTATGTAGATCATGATGGGAGTTACAAATTAGGGTCACGAACAAAATACGGCAAGTTTGGTCACAAGGAAAGACCGACTTTTCATGAAATCCATGGCAGAATATGTGGCATAGACAAAAGGAAAATCATGAGAAATCATACCAAGACGGTAGAACAAAAATACAACGAAAATAAATTCCAAACAGATCCGCCAGGCGTGATGAGTTGGCTTAAAGAGAAGAAGAAAAAAGATAGGTTGCACTCTAGACTATGTCCAGATCATGGCAACATGAATGTTTGTATTATCAGACAAGTGAAATCAGAAAAAACTAGACGGCTAAGATTCTGTAAACTTCTCAAAATAAACTGCTATGTTGCTGATGTGAGTTGCACATACGTGGCAAAGACAAGTACACAACCTATATAATGGCGATTTGTAGGCATTTAAATCTCTTTAATCTAACATTTGGTAGCAACTATCAGACAAGAACATACATGGACCAAAGCACGATACATGAAGCCCATCTCGGAATCTGGTCTAAGCACACGCAACGTAGAGAAGGTGTCCTTGCCAGCCATCGTCATAGACAGGAATAAGTGTTGCTGAAATCGACGAGGCCTACAGTGGCCATCGCGGTAGAAGACACCATAGAACGCCGCGAAACTGGGTTACCCTCCATAATCATCACCGTAATTCGGAACCGCAGCCTGCAAGAAATACAGAACCAGCTTGGCCGATGAGGCCTTTTAACCGTGTACCTACGGCATCAACTGATCAAACGTCATCCCCAGAAGCGAGTGTCTCGGGCTGAGAAGCGACAAGAAGACGGAACCTTGAAAGAGGTATCCACATCCTTTTGTATGCTAACCTCGAAGCCCTCTCGTACTTGCAATGATCAATCCGGCTTGCCTCGACTTTTCGTACCGCTGTCCAGCCAGTCACGCCATTGCCCGCAAAAGCTCTCCTCTTTCGCTCAAGTCAATCGTACATGTAACAATAGTAATATGTGCGCAGCACACCTATCTTATCTCCTGATGGGAATGCCTTGGTCCTCCTGGGCCTTGGCCTCATCGCTCGTCTTCTCCTCGGCATCATCGGCGCTTGTTTCGCGGTTCAGGAAGCTGCTCTCCTTGACGGGGCTGGCAGCCTGAGCGCCGCTGGCACCGCTGATGCTGTTGTGGTGCGGCAGGAGGGGAATGCCGCTGTTGCTGTTGGCGCCGTTGGGGGAAGAGAGGTGGGGGATGTTCTCGGGCACGGGATGCTGGCTGCCGACGGAGCCAGTGTCGACGCTGTCGCCCTTGCCGGCCTTGGACATGGCATAGTCGCCGCTGTCAAAGTACTTGCGGTCCTTCAGGTGCTTGGCGAAGTGGTCGGACTTGCTGGGCAGCTTGCCATACAGGCGGAAGAGTCGCTGCTCATCGGGCGACAAGGACTGTGTGGCATTGCGGGTCAGTAAGCAGCCCAATGGACATAGTATAGGATTTGTGGGAAAAACGCAATAGCAGAGAGGGCAATGGACAGTTGATTGTGCTGGCTGGAAAGGTTTCTCGGGCAATATAACAAGAGAGTGAACTTGAAAAATCACTCCTCATTGTCTTTTGTGCTCGTCTTTGAGGTGCTGGCGTTCGGGTTCGTGTCCCAAGAAAAGCAAGGGAAGGGCCGCAGCGCGACTATTTCTTACCTTGATGTCGATCTTGTTCTTCTGAAGAGGGTTCATGTTGAGTGAGGTCTAACGCACGCAGCGGACAGATGCTTGGGAAAATAGATCGAAACTTTCTATCGTCGTCTGTGTAGAAAGGAGAGAAAGCCTCTTGAGGGCCCGCGGTGGGTGGTGTGTTTGTCAGACGATCCGCAGTTTTACGGGCAGTAGTAGCAGTAGCAGCAGCAAGATGGTAGGTTGGCAGGTAGTGAGTTTCGTCAGGTGTCTCGACTAACTAACTATCGGGCTTGGTGGTGCAGATGCCGTTGGAGGGGCGAGCGGGGAGGGGAGGGATGGTACCGTAAATAGTGGGAGGATTGATAAATGGGCAGCAGCTTTGGGAACACTGCAGTAGCGGGAAGTGAGTTGGGGGGGTCGCTTTTGGGGTCGGTCTTCCCTTTTTGCAGTTGCAGCAGCGGCAGCTCTCCAATAAATACCAGAGCTAAGATAATGCAAGGTGGAAGAAAGTGGGCTACCGGCAGCTTGGCCTAGCTTTTTTGCTTTGCTTTGCTTGCTGGGCTCTTCTTGGGTCAATGGGCTTGTACCTTGGGTTCCGTCGTCCCTTGATTGGGTTGAAGGAGACTCGGGAGGTTGCTGGGTTGTTGCTGGGCTTGGCTTTGGGGAGGGAGGGAGGCAAAGGATGCTGCCAGTGCTTAGGTGCAAGGTAATGACAAGGTTGACCAGAAGAAGGTGCTCAGCTGGCACTGCTGGTAGACGGCATGTACCGTCCTAACGATGAGCTCCAGGGTTGGTCTGGTATCCAAGTATTCCGTGACTGTCCTGCTATTCTGCTACTAAAACTGGGAATAATGGGACCTTGCAGGAGAGCGATGCGAGCAGATTTTAAGGGTCGATATCGGGGCACCGGGCTTCTTTGATCGACAATGGCTTGGTTTCGTCGCTCTTCTTTTGTGGAATTTAGGGTTCTAAGTGGTCACGTTTGGTTTGCAGATCAAAGAAAAGAGAAAGTGGACGAGAGAGGGAGAGAAAGAGGGAGAGAATGGAGCGTAAATGGCAGCCAGAAAAAAAAAAAGGTAGTAAAACCGTAGAACAGATCAAAGTCGTGGGTATCAAGAAAGATACTCACTTTACACTATTGTCTAGGAAAGGAAAGGGTCACGGATATATACGACCGACAAAAGATCCGGCTCATGCAATACCATTAGACATTCATCTCACTCCCATGCTCGTGGGATGGCCATGTCTTCGTCTCATGGTGTCCGTCCATGGAACACGCAAGAGAATTTCAGGGTCCTTCGATCCGAACACTAGGGAGAACAGTAGGATGGTATTCCGTCCATGACCCGGTAATTTCATGCCAACGACAGATCTTCCAGCATCCCCCGAGTCCCTCAACCATGTTGATTATGCCGATGCTGGCTGGGTGGGGAAAACTGGGCATCAACAACGCAGAGTATGACTCTTATTCTATTTCTTCTTTCCGTTGCCATGGTGGTCCATGGGCATTGGGGAAAATGCCGATATGCTGATGCCTCTTGATAGGCCATCTGGGTGATATACCATCGTCTTAAGACGGCCTGTTAAGCATCGTCGCCGTGGGTACGGCACCGGCCCCCTGTCACCATGCGCCCTTGACGAATGGAATTCCCGAATCTGTCGACTTATAAACATGGACGGGGAAAGTTTCTATTTTGCGTTGGAGACACAAACACATACACACACACACAGAAACGACCGGGCCTTTGATGAACTGGGTTACTGGTGTATCAAGGTAGAGAGGGCACCCTACCAATGCTCCAGCTTATTGCCGATGATGGAAAGAAAGTTCAAAAGTTGCCTGGTGGTCGCACCAATCTACGCCATCGCGTGGGAGCATTGGCGTGATGTAAGCTGCCGTGCTCCCCACACAGCCATAGAGCAACTGGAGCCCAGCGTCAATCTATGGTACGTACAACAAAAAAACGCGGCATGAAAAGTTGTACACTCTATTCCGTACACAGTCGATCCGATTGGATTTGACTCCCAATGATTCACATTTGAGCTTCACAGATACACTACAGTCTCGCCGTGCTCCAAGGAGTCACAAGTTCCATGCTTTCCCAGTAAGGGAGGGATTTGCAGGGCAGTGATCTCGATAGATGCTGCACTCTGTGCAAGCTCCATGCAATCAATTAGCTTGACAACCACCCAGCTTGCTCAGATGGCTTGGTAAGCCTACATTCGGGGAGGCAGGTGGCATAGATCAGACGCAAGTCCCTGGCGATCCTCACTGTCGGGTAACGGGTTTATGTGTTTCCTACGGGGAAACAAAAAAGAAACAATTCATTCAGCTCGAAACGGAAGGGAATCCGAAGCGTCACGTTTTCTCCAGCGACAGGGATTGTGACGTCGGCCTACGCAATACTTCCATGCCAATCATTCAATCCACCACGGATCTACTTGACACTAGGATATGGAACCTTTTGAAACATTTGTTGCGGATAGAGGAATAAGAAGACAATTCTTTTTTGTTTCTGGAAGAACATGCACCACAGTCACACTACCACGAAAATCAGCGGTAAACGTCTTGGTACTCGCACAATGGTGGCCTCCACCAATTAGTCGTTATTCATGCCAAAGTAGTACGTAGTATGACAACTACACAATAAATGTGGAATGTTGGCAAAGGCACTGCCCAAGCTGCCGGCTCTGGCTCTCGAAAACTCAATTGCTAACCCCCCCATTCACATCAATCAAGCTCCACATTGGTGACATTGCTTTAATGGCTGCCATCCACGGATAGTAATCATTGACTGGGATACTAGATGCTCGGTAGCCAGCCAACTGCTCAATGCAGGTGAAACGTGCGGAGGCTTTGGGACAGCATAGGAGGGGCTATCCCATGCTCGATCCTCATGGCATTATGCCTTCTCACCCTGACTACTGGTTGGCTAGTAGTCTAGTCGTACCGCATCTACATCCGCCGAACCTTGATCCAAACGAGGACTGGGCTATCCTGTATGCCCGGCCATTGGCGTACAATCGCCCGTCCTGGTGCAGTTTCCATATGGTCTATAATGGTTTGGTCGACGGAGTGTCACGCGGCTTGGAAAGGTGAACATGGCAACACCTTAGACCCCCCTTCTTAGCACAGGTGGGGTAAGGTTCGAGGCTATACTTTGAACATACTGACTGCCACTTGGCCATCCTCCCACCTTCGGCATCTTCATGTTTGGAACAAAAGTCAATCGATGCTGAATTCGGTCTCTGCTTGGCCCGTTCGATGGCTACCACGACCTTGATGACCCTTGTTTTCTCCGATAATCGACATTGGAGCCTCCAGTATCGTCCACTACTCTGAATATGGAGACTTTGGAGGGGAACGCACACATGCAGAATTAGCAAGGCCAACTCATGAACATGAATCCCGCCAAGACCTTAATATACTCCAGTAGACGGATATAGGGCTACTACTCAACAGCCACATGCTCCCTAGACCTTTATAGCCCGCTTCTGAGAAAAGGTTACAATAAATGTACTGGCAAATGCTTTTGTTGTATGGTAGAAGCATATGCCTGGCGACTATGCAGTCTTGGCAAACCTTGGGCTTATCTAAAGCTACGATATACAACCTAAAAAGGTGCGCCTCTTATATAATTATTGACATCACTGTTCCCTGCGCCAACCTCCTGCTCTGATATGCATTCTTTCGGCTTGGAAGATTTGTGCTCCAATGGTCTGAATACTTGTAGATATTTCGCAGACCATGAAATTGTACTCTATTATTCTAGAATAAGATATGATAATAGTTGGTCAGAGCTGTTGACAGGCAGTGCTGACCAAAGTGGTGAATGGCATTCCCCAGTTGTGACATCATAGTCCAAGATGGGAGAATATTCTCCAACCTAGAACTGGCCAATATCAAACGCTCTCTAGGCCGCTACGCTTAAAAAAGAACATGATATCGACGATTATCTCTAAAATAAAACTTCATTAATTGTACTCGCAAATCAGTCCTGAGTAATCATGCCGCCTTCTCGTCCGCAGCCTAGCCAACCCGTCACCCTGGCCCAGGCCTCGACCCTCCAGACGTCGGGCGGCCAGACCGAGGGCATGGAGCGCAGCAACGCCATTACGAACCTCTGCGACGGCATCTGCGCGTCTCGCATGATTGCCGAGCCGCACACGTCGTCGGCGGTGCACCACCACGGCGAACAAGACACGGTCATTTTTTGCGCGAGCGGGCGCGGGGCCATCACTTCCGAAGGCGGGAGCAAGCGGACCCAGCTGGAGCCCGGCGATTTCTGTCTCATTCCGGCGTGGATGGAGCATCAGGAGGTCAATGATGGGGACGAGAAGCTTGTGCTCTGTGTTGTGAGGAGTGGAAGGACGCCTGCAGTGGTGAATCTGACGGGATGGGGTGGGGAGGACGTCAAATGATGAAGTACGACGGGAAGAGTATTGAAATGTTTCGAGCATTGGGGAGGTCAACACCAAGTTCAACACGAGGAAACTGTGGTCTAACGGTGCAAGATGCGTTTGAAAGCCATGGGCGTCAACCACGATCAGGTTAAAGGGCTGGTGTTGAGCGACATCGGGATCATATACCGGCGAATAGGTTAGTGGTAGACTGCTGCATACCTATCTACATATGATCACAGTATGTTGGAATTTTGGGGATTCATTCTTCTATATTGCGGACTGGATGGCTAGGTAATGATAGGTACGAAAAGTGGTTATTGTTTGTGCTGGATGGGAGAGGGAATTGAGAACAGACGAACGAAAGAGAAAACAACATTGGACCGTGATATGGGCATTTCTGGATTCCCGTTCATATTTGAATCAATCGATTCTCCACATTACACCTACGCTCTCAACTGATTGAGTTCTTGGCCATCGTAGACGGAGTCTCGGGCAGCCGCCCTTGCCCGTAAACTCCGTTACGGATCGGCACGACCCACATCGTATATGAGAAAGTCTCCTATTATACTCGTTTCTGGTCAGAATAAACTTTCCATCTCCTTGTTTCATCGTGATAACATCGGAAAGCCGCGAGAATATTTCGGCACTTCTCGCGATAACGCACAACAATGCCAGCTTCGGGGTGATGCCAGGATGGAAAGGAGAAGGGTTGCGGTTCTGTGTATAAAAGTCAGGCCCAAGAATCCAGCTAGGAACGCAACTTTGGAGACTACATGACATCAAATCAATCATTCTCCCTCGTATCAAAAATGACTTCAAATCCTTCACGCCACTCCGTCGTAATCGTCGGTGGTGGAATTACAGGCCTTGCCCTTGCCCTCATGCTCCAGCGTCAAAATGTCGACTATGTTCTTCTCGAAGCTTACGGCAGCGTAACACCAAATGTCGGAGCCAGCATCGGATTGTGGCCAAATGGTTTGAGAGTCCTGGATCAACTCGGCGTGTATGAGGACATCTGTGCTGTAGCACAGCCAGTCGACCGAAGTATCGTACGCGATGGAAAGACGGGGGCTAGGCTCATGACACGAAAATATGGACCAGTTCTCAAAGCACGCCATGGATATGTCAACATGTTCATGGAACGCTACGAGCTGCTTCGTGTTCTTTACCGTCACGTTGCTGAGAAGGATCGGATATTGGTGAACAAGAAGGTGGTGAGGATAGACTCTGATGACGATAAGGCCACAATTCACACAAGAGATGGATCCGTGTTTGAGGCTCAGATTGTGGTCGGCGCAGATGGCGTACACAGCGCGGTCCGCAAGGAAATGTGGCGCAATGCGGACGAAAGCGATCCAGCAGCGATACCAAAATGCGACAGGGAGAACATTCGGTGCGAGCATGCGTGCATTTTCGGTACTGCGAAGCCACAGCCAGACGTCAAGCAGGGAGAGGTTGTCGGAGCCTCAACAGAAGGAACCACGGCTGGCGTCATGGTCGGACCCAAGAAGGAACTATTCACCTTCTGGTTCTGGCAGCTTCCTGAGGAGATGCGCTCTTGTCCCATTGATGCCATTCCGCGCTTTGACGACGAGGAGAAGCAGCGCCAGCTCAACCGCGCAGCAAACACCATCATGTCTGACTCGGGCCTCCGCTTCCAACAAGTCTCCGAGACCTTGGAGTATAGCGTCGTGACGGCACTGCCTCACTTTGTGCTCCGCCGTTGGCACTTTGGCCGGTTGATCGTCCTTGGCGATGCTGCTCACAAGTTCAACCCACTCGTTGGACAGGGTGGAAATAGTTGTATCGAATCTTGCGCGTCCCTTGTCAATGCTTTACAGTCAACCTTGAAGACACAGCCATCAAGTCGCCCGGATGCCTGGTCCATTACAACATTGTCCTCGGCTTTCACTGCTGTTGAACAACAGAGAGTTGGTCGACTGGTTGACATGGTTGACAAATGCCAGGAGGCCATGCGAAATTCTGCTTGGGAGACTCCCACCAGGCGGTTCATGTTCAAGTACATTGTCCCACTATTCACTCTGTCACAGTTTGTCAATTTTCACAGCGATCTGATTACTGCCGGCGTACGATTGAACGACTGTGAAATACGACCGAAGATCCACGAGTGGCTCTACGATGACGAACAACAAGAGAAACAAAAGGCAAAGAGGATTGACGCCACCCGAGTAATCACAACCGTGGGACTGGTCACAGCGGCGGCTGCTATATTGCTCCGGAATCAGCATGTCGTGGGCCAGGTACTCACCAAATCAAAAGCCGTGTTATCGCAATCATAAACCTAGGTCTGCGGCATCATCAGATAGAAGAGAATGGCTACTTATTTGGATAGATAGAAGAGACACTTGATTTTTCCTCGTACGTTCAAGAAGCTATATATGAAGGAGGAAGAATTATGTATAAGTGACGACTTGCCGAAATTTACGCAAGGTGTACGACCCAACACAGGTTAACTCGTACATGCGTAGCCCCGCCTTGCTTGACATTATGAAGGATCAGCTGTTCTATGGCTGCAACAAAAAAGAAAAAAGAAAAAGAAATTATCAAGTATCAGAAATGATGATAAATGGTAAAGCAGTCGAAAAAGAAAACATCTAGCGTTATCAGCCATTTGACAACTGGCAAGCCTGGCAGAAATTGCAAGCTCACAATTCCTCCAACTTCAACGCGGAAACAAATGGGATCGCACTACACGCTTCGTGTTGAGATCCATCTATTGTGAAGACAAGCGGATATAGTCTAGGCTATAACGTTTGAGAAATCGGACTATAACAATAGTGATTGCGAGGAGTTTCATTTTTCCAAGCATTTGTCAATCAATTCGGTCAAACAGTGATACGTGTTGATCTTTCTCTTGAGCCAAACACGACCATAGCCAAATCAATCATTTCCCTCAATATTTTGGTGGGTAAGTGTTGATCCACGGTCCAGCTAGGTACCTGGTAGTTACGAGACACTAACATCGCATGTCCTGTTAGATCTCGTCCGCAATGCCTGATCTTGGGACACTACCAAACGAGCTTCTTCATCTCATTGCTGGCTCCGTGATCGAGAATTGGGTAGCCGAAACCCGTGACTACTCAAAGATCGATGAAGTGGCGCATGAACGGGGTCATGAATTGGCAGAATGGCATCTCTCGAAACTTTCACGCACAAGTCGGCATTTTCATCAGATCTTCAACCCATACCTCTATCAGTCGAACCGAGATCATCGAGCCTCCTATGCCGTGGGCTGGGCAGTCCAACATCGCTCCTTCGAAACGCTTGAGAAATCCTTGTCCTACGGCTTGGATATCAACAGACATATTCAGTCCAGAAATATTACAATGGAAAGGCGGGATCTGGGGAATCAGCCGCTTTCTTGGGTATTCCGACCGATCGAGCTGGCGGTCGCTCGGAGACATCGTGATATTCTCAAATGGCTTCTCGACCATGGAGCCGATCCAGACCCTGGCAGGATTGAGGACGACCTTTACGGCAATGAAGATGCCCGTTCTCGTGGTAGCAACACCCTGGATTCACCACTTCATCAAGTATTAGGCGGAACTCACGATGAAGAAGCGGCCCTTATGCTAATCGATCATGGCGCAAGAGTCTACTTTGTTCGCCCGACAGACCTCGACAGTCGCGAGGTTGATATGTTTACCACTGCGTTGCACCTAGCTTCACTCCATGGACTGTCTCGCGTTGTGAAGAGGCTGCTCCTGGACAGCACTATTGAAATCGATTATCGAGATTATCGTAGTTTGACAGCACTCCGTTACGCAGTCACAAGCTCGCACTCGAGGGTGGCCACGATCAATTCACTTTTACAGCATGGAGCAAATCCTACCTCAAAGGGTGTCCGGCCGTTCAATCTCTCCACAATGCTGGAGGCAGCAATCCACAAAGGTAGCCTAGAGAATGTGCTTGCCTTGATGCAAGGCTTAGCAGATTATCTCCCTCCGAGAAAAGCTCCTCGATCATGGTCCTACTGCTATCTAAGCAACCTCATCGCGGCTTCAGCCAGTCGAATGAAAGATTTCGAGTTCCCACATGGAGACGGTGAAACGGAAGAAATCACTGCCATCCTTACCAAGCTCGTCCACATTGGCGTCGACTTTAATAATCCGCCGCCACCCTATGAGAGATCGGACGACGACGACGATGAAGGCGATGACAAGGAAGCCGACGAGGAAGCCGATGAGGAAGCTAATCGGGAAGTATACGAGGGCCCAGCTGGTAAGTCGATACCTAACACTACATCCGGATTTTGTTTGCCGCTCCTACCGCATGTTACACTTGACTGCATATGGACCGGCGGCAAAAAATCTATCAAGCCGAATCTAGAAACTTATTCCTCACTACGAGCAAGTTATGTTCGCAGTGTTTCATGACAAAACCTATTTACTTTACTAGTCATGAACAATGAGTTTGACTGACAACAAACGCCGCCCAGAGACCCTTCTGTCCAGGGCAAATCGCTGTTATGAACCAAGGTTCTGCGAAATACTTAGCCGTATTACAGGTGCCCCGTCGACAAATATTAGTGGATGATCTGGGTGTAATATCGAGACAATGAGGATCATTGATACGCCACAGTGTGGCTAGTTGTGTGGCACCCTTCGGGTAACACAATCGGAAGGGTTGATTAAGTCTGTTTGTTCACACATTATTTTCCTAGATGAAGATCATCTTTAATTTTACTCTTTGTTTCAGATACTGGTCGTATCAATCATATAAAGTTGCATATGACCCCGGATGGAAATCTGTAAAGAATGAAAAACAAAGTACAGTCTATATACCTTGGAAGCATATGATTGCATGTATCTGACGCAGCTCAGCAAACAGAATCAATATATACTGTATTGTACTATGATGTATAATTATTGATCACAAAGCTACAATCAAGATAAGCTACAATCAAATACTACCAGTGCTGCAAGGCGCGAATCTAGTGCTAGACGAGGAGTAGAAACAACATTGCTGGCATGTAGCTAGATCTTCTCTCTTCAACATCAATATCACCACTCTTCCTCTTTGTTCCTGGGATCGTTTTCCTAGTGGACTGTGCCCAGTGAGTACGTATCTACCAGGGTCGAAACTACCTACCTAGGTAGATATGTAGGAGTTTCAGAACCAAAATAAGAAAGCAATTGACATGAATCGTCGCTCAATCGCCACCACCTGGCAGCAACTGCTTTCTATTTTCTTTTTCCTTCTTGGAAGTTTCTTCAAGTTCAGCCCAAACGCGAAAGTAACTTGTGATAAATTATTCGCGTCTCCCTTGGTACGGGAAACCGCGTTCAACTTCATCTATACTCGAACAGTCGCATTCTAAAGCACAATTCTCTTGACAAGATTGCCATGTGACAGGCAAAACAAATGTTCCAGCCTCCTAATAACGAAGCCTTATTCTCATTTGCTGTGCTCATCACCTTAACAGCATTGGCTGTGCACCATTAGATATGGCTCGTCTGGACACATTACCAGTCGAGCTCCTCCATGACATTGCTGGTTTCGTCTCATCGAATGCCGTCATGTTAGATGCAAAGGGCGAGACTGGGGAAAAATCAAGATGGGCCGAATCTGACCTGGCAGCTTTGTCATGCACGAATCGGCAATTTCACCAAATATTCACCCCATATCTCTATCAATGGGACCAGGAGTACGGATCGTATGCCATGAGCTGGGCAATACAAACCTCATCATACGAAACTCTGGAGAAGACTTTGACTCTCGGATACCATCTCGACAGTATTATAACTCTTGCAAAGAGGTGGCGCAATTATAAAGAGAATCAAAGGCATCGGCCTATTGAGATTGCAATTCTTTTCGAAGAGCATCGACTTCTGAAGTGGCTGCTGGAGCACGGTGCCAGCGCAGATCCTGGCCCAGTCAAAGACGTCCAACTCGAGGATGGCTCCGTCCACCGTATGGCTCAAGGTCGGAGTTCTTCGCCACTTTATCGGGCGTTGGTACAGCTTTCAGACGACAACGCAGCCGTCATACTACTGGACGCTGGTGCAAGGACTAGATTTGGGAGAGACGATACGTTTTTCTACAGCTGTACTGCACTCCATCTAGCTGCAACCCGTGGACTGGCCAAGACTATGGAGAGGCTATTGCTCCCGAAAGACACTCTCGACATCAATGAGAAAGATTGGCACGGTCACACAGCACTCCATTTAGCCGTGCTTGAACAAGACCATAGAATGGCTATCATTGAGAAGCTTTTAAGGCATGGGGCAAATCCCCATACGTCCAATAATGAGAACACGACAGCGATTGAGTCCGCCGTCTCGACCGGGCACTTAGAGAATGTACTTGCCTTGATCCAGGCCATGGCAAATACATCCCCTCAAGATGCTAGTGAAGTATGGACCCCCCCCTGCTGTGCACAGAATCCTAACGGCTCTGCGCGAACGCCGCCTCGACCGATATGACTTCGATCACCCGAAGGAGGTGAAGATGATCATCGCCAAGCTTGTTGAGGTCAGTGCGAAGGTTGACTGCCCTCCGCCACCGCACTTTGGCGATGTTGTCGTCGACGAAGACGGCGCAGAGGGTCAGCCCCTAGCTCTTGGTAAGCCAACCCACCGCCACCAGTAAGAAAATGGCTCCCGCGTCACTGCATAGTGATTGAGCATCATGGTTGTATTTATCGCGGCCATGTTGACTGAATGATATCACGAGGGGGACGTACCCTCTGGAGCAATACAGAGTTGAGCAGAGTGTGGGGTTCCAATATCTCTCGACAAGCATTGCCTTTTATGAAATTAGGACGGAGAAGCGATTTTTGCTAACCATGATTTTCTCTCAGAGCCATTACGGTCTTGGGCAGCGGCAATGGGTGTGAGCCGTGAACCCATCATCTTCGAGACGCTACTCAGCCTAGGTCTAAATCGGCCGACTAACTAAGGTTAGGTATAGCATGAGATGACGGCAGCTGGCTAAGGAACTGCCTTTTATACGGTTTTTCCCCTTTACCCGCCACGACGCGTTACTTCGTTCAGTGCCCTTACAATGTCCCTCAAATGACCCAACTCATTCTGGTCCCATTCATTCGCGCCGGCTTTCCACCCATCGACGATCCTCTGTATTGCCACCAGCGCAGCGTCGCTCCGCTTTCGCAAGTCGTGCAAGTTGTCAGGGTGTTGCGCATGACTCTGTCCGATGATTTCAGATTCAAATCCGTACAGTTTGCGCAACAATTCCTGCACGGTTTCAATCTCCTCGGATGTGACGGAGGCCCGGCCCAGATCATTGCCGTCGGCGCCGGTGACTTGATCCAGGACCTCGAGCTCCGATATGCCGCTCTCGTAGTATTTGGACAGTAGTGCCGTTTTAAACTCTTCCGCAGTCGGGAATTGAAGTCGCGAGCCATTGTTGTCTCTTGTGTCATTACGTGTCGTGCTCAGGGCTATGCCTTCATCGAGTCTAACGGGCCGTTGTGACCTCCCGATGTCCCTAGGCGGCGGCGACTTCCACGTGCCGTCCTTGAACTCCTTCCATAACCACCAGAATGCCCAGAGAATCGCCGCAGCCGAAACCAGGCCAAAGATGAGGGCCTCGACGGCGGTATCGCCAATCTTTGCGACACCTGCCTTCTCAATCACCAGGGCCCCATTCGGGAACCGGGCGGCGTAGGTGGCGTCGTACGTGGTGTTGATGGCGTAGACGTTTGATGGAAACGGTCCCAATGACCATTCAGACGTGCTCTGGTTCATGAGCTGGACCCACAGCGATTGATTACTCGACAGCACGAGGTTTTCTTCATTCGTCCAGGACTCCATGGTGAAGAAAGTTCTTGAGCACAGTGCTTGAAGCTGGTAGAAAGAACCTGCACACACAAGTTCATGTGTCTCAAGAACATTCGTAGAGATTATTGAGGCCGGACACCGGCGGTCGCCATACATGAATTAGACGCGGACCTTGTCACATTGATACATCACATAACAGGTGTCGTGGTTGGTTCTTTAATTGGCTGTAGGCTGAATATGCCTTTTCTGTACAAATGTGGAATATTGTGTCTGGCAAGGCTTTGCCATAAGCTGCAGGCTGTAAGCATATCCATTCATTTTGGCCAGGCTACTGCTCATGGGCGTCTAGGCGTTTTGCTCATATCGTGCAGGTGAGGCTGCTGCAGGAGAAGTGTAATTAACACCCCCTGCATGAAAAGTGCAAAAAGTGTTACCCCAAAGTGCAAAAATGCCGCCTTGGATATCCTCTCTACTTGGAGATACATGGCTGTTTTTGGTTCATGGACAGCACTCGGGCGCAATTAAATCTGTGTGATGAGTTGGCAGCTTCGCCCGGGTTGTATGGGAAATGACAATGTCGGCGAAAACCGGTAGGTTGAATGAGCCTTGGATATTTTTGGGATTTTCTGGCCACTCCCTTACCTTTACCATCCGGACACCCTCCCCATCGAAGCAACTATGGTAGGTAAGATCATTGTAGTTGTATGAGTGATAGTTGTCAACTGAACCGTTTGGATGCCTTCCGTGAGAATTGATGTTTATTTTGGGGGCCAATTTATTGTAGGTCTCCCTCGGTACTGCCAGGACTGGTACTTGTCAAATGCTAGTACTGAGAATCATGAAAACAATTAACCATTAAATGGCAGAGACTGGTTAAGCAGCTCGATCCCGGGACGTTCGATGGTTCCATCATGACCAAACTTCTTGCCACAGCTTAGGATCACATGCACCGATGCGAAATTGATCTGAATTTCAGCCTGCATCTCGATTCGGTGATACTGTGGAGATTCCTTGGTTTTCCTCACAATCTTGTACACACCCTCATTCTTGAGATCTTCCAATTGATTCTTTGTACATTTGTTCCCTTCTATCACGTCATTCAGGTCAAACTCGAGGCTCTCTACAATTTGCCCGTCTAGAAGAAAACATGTCAGCGGTTCTCCAGATGTTGGAATTGAGAGTGATACTCACAACGCTTCTCCTGAAGTCTGTTACTTCTTTGATGACGTACACCAATTCCAGGGTCGCGCACTATGACTAGGGATCGCTTTCGGTACGAATCGTGGGCAACTTTTCTCACGAACATTTCGTGTTTTACGATTGGTTCATCATCAGGGATCAAATCTCCCTTGGCCACCAGCCACTTGATATTGTCCCGCGCGCGCTTGCTGTGGTCGAAGCTGTCGTAGTATAGTTGATCTTCATCGTGATCGTAGGCTGCAAAGAAAGGGGCGATCTGAATACCGACGTGTTCTCGGACAGAATTTACAGGTGGTGGACGCAGGGAGTCATCACCGCCGCCAATCAGAACAGCGCCTTTGGCTACAGCAGACCAACTGGAATAAGATCTCAGTATCAGTATCCATGAATGGAAGATTGAACACAACTCGAGGCAATACGGACCTATCCTGGCCGCAAATCACGTCCATTCTCCTGTGAGAGTGAGCGTATCTATTCACTTGCTTCTGCAGATAAGCATTGCGAGAAAAGCCGCCCGAGAGGAAAATGGCCTGGCATGTTTGGTTAGACTCAATTCCTTCCAGCGCGCAGGGAAAGAATGCGTACTTTTGGTTGCAGATGTTGCCCGTGGAGAAGCAAGAGCTGGCCGTTTATGAGCTCTAGCGTTTTTTCAACGGGGTCCTCAAACATCTCCTCCATCTCAGCCCTTCATAGTTCAATGAGCAGCTTGGACTAAAAACATATTTTCAGGACGAGGTTTCACTTACTGAGAGATCCTCAGTTCTCCATTCCTCCTTCCCATGCTACGGTTCTCACGGTCCTCAACGTGCTCGGGGAGTCGAAGCACGATTGGAACAGCTTCGGCCATGGCGTCGGCTGTCTCGTCGCGACCTGCAAAGGAGTGTTTGATTGCTACAAAGTCTGATAGCATCCTCTTTGCTTCCCTCGTCAGAGGACCATATGATGAAGTACCACCGATCTCGGGTTTTTCGCGAAGCCTGTCGTAGTCTTCAAGATCTAGCCGACTACGTAAGAAGTTTTCGAGAAAGTAGTCTTCGATGCGTGTGGCTCCGCAAGAGGCACCCGTGGCATTCGTCACTTTGGAAGCACTAAATGCTGGAGCGACTGTTTCAACGCAGTAGGAAACCAGGTCCTGAAGGAGATATAGTCAGACGAGATGGAAGAGAATGACTAGCGAGCGAACAGGCAGAAAGTTTGGAACGCACCACTGTACCGCCACCTGCATCAACGACAATAAAACAATCGCCCTAATTGCCTTCGATTAGCTGTTGTGAACCGTCAATATCCATGTAAAGTGGCCCGAGTACCATTCTTAGCCCGTGGATGTTGTCACCTTGCGACTCTTTGATGGCGTACTGCGCACACGCTTCTGGTTCTGTGACGAGGTATGTGTGTCTCAGCTTCCGGGGTTGATGCTCGAACTCCCTGTCGAACGCCTTTTGACTAGCTCTAAAAGTGAGATTTCTAGCTCGATCATCCCATTCCTAACTGTTCATGTTAGCGTATGGTCATTGGCTTTGGTGTTCTCGTGTTCGAACTATACCGCTGGGTGTGTCACGACCAGATCAATCCGGAAATGCTTCCAAGATCCTTCTCCCTTTATACTCTCAATGTCTATCCGAACATACTTTGCTACTTCCTCGAGGTAGTCCGCAACGACTTCGCCTGGAGTCTTGATGAGATGCAGCGGGAACAAGGCCGAGGCGCCGTCCCTGTGGGAATTGCTCATGACCCGTGGCAATTCACTCATTGCTTCCGCAAGTAGGCGAATGGCCTGGGGCTTCTGTTGGATCGGAAGTTCCAGCTTTGTCCTCTGCAGGATCTTGGCATTGCGGTCAATATTATTGCCCCAGTGCTGTCCCTCCTGATGCCGCGAATAGGTGTATTCCGAGGGAACCTTGGGCTCAACTGCAACAGGCGGCCAATTGTTCACTACGTGAATATCTGCGAGGGTAAGCGGGCGGCCTTCGGTCAATGCCCAGGCAGCTCCTGACGTCAATCGTTAGATGGAATAAGTTGGGCTGGTACGAGGGTGTCAACATGCGTACCGGTGTACGTTGTACCGTAATCAAGTGAGATAATGATATGATTTTCCGACTCGTCTATCGATCGGCTCGTGTCAAAACCAGAATACGACGACGGACTCAATAATGTACTCTCGCGGGTCGACATGACGGGATGCTAGATTCAGAATATCATAGAAATTTGCCCTTGGTACAGATCAGGAGAGGTGAAAATGTGCAGATAGATGCATTTGAATCAAGGCTCTGAAGTGCGGACCTCTGTAGGCGGTATATACTAGTCATAGCCAATAGCAACATGATGTATTTGGAATGTAGCAAAAAGTTGGAGGGGAGCGTCGTGGCTAGGAAGGGTGTGTATGTATGTAGGGGATGATGAGGCTGCGACGTGCAGATGTGTCCACACAGCGCTGCAAGATGCATTCGAGGTGAACAAGGGCTAGATAAACCGCCAAATTCATGCGTACCTAGGTAGGTAATCTGCATATGCGCCTTGGCGTTATCTTGAGTGACAAGCCCCCTCACTCCTTGTCCACCCTGATTGATTCGGCAGACTTGTATTGCATCTAAGAAGTTTTACGAAAACCGGCTCGGCGCAGTAAAGTCACTAAAGTGACAGCCTGATATGCCACACTTTTTTTTTTTCTTTCTTTAGCTTCTGTGCACCTATGTTGTTCATTTTGCACACTTCACTTCGATCGTTAAGTCACTCCCGTTTCAGTCAACATGTCAAAACTGCTCAGTAAGATCAGAATCAGAAAGCCAAAAGCAGACCTCGAAAGCTCTTCTCAAGGAGTCCCGACACAAGAAGCACACAGCCCGCGCCAGTCACAATCCTTTCAAGTGACTAATGGAGATCGCGATCGTCAAACGCATCAAGACAGCCAAAGACAACCACGATCAGCAGACGCTGAAGACACTACTTCAAAATTTGAGCGGAAGCAACTAGAGACAACAAAGAGCTACAAAAGCCCGACCAACTCAGGATCAGGGAGATCTGCGCCATTCATATACTTCACTGATGCAAATGCCCGTGTGCCAAGAGCTGAACTTGACGGTTCATCACCGCTGCATGCAAACGTTGGTCTCCCTGCACAAGGTGGAAATATAGTCACGTCACCTTTCGATGAAGTATATTCGAGAATCGATCAAATAGGAAGCCGAGACCAAGACAAAGAAGAAGTTGAGCAAGGTGGAGTAGATACCATACGAGACCTGACCCTACCTATCCAGTCGTGGGATCCACAAACGAAAGAAGCCTTTGGCGAGGACGAGAACCATTCAGTTTCAATTTATGACGAGATGGGGCAGTCAAACTCGGCCTACTATGACAGGAGAGGTCCGCACACACACTCAAAGCCTCGTAGGAGAATCTCACGTGGCGAACTAATTGACCAAATCGCAAGTTTGGAAAGAAAGAATGATGAACTGGAACAAGAAAGTGATAAGTGGTTTCAAAAGGCTGAAGAAAGGCGGAGAGAAGTGCGTGGGCGCATTCAAGAAATAAGCAATTTGCAGGACAATCTGGAGGGGTTGCAAAATGCCTATAATCAGCTTGAGAAAAAGAATAATGGCTTGCTCGAGAAAGTTGCCCGTCTACGTAGTAGGTTGGACGAGGAGAGAACCTTCCACGACGACAAGATCGCTGGATTGGAGAGCATACACCAGGAAAAGCAGGGTGAAATGCTTCGGCAGCAAGAGGAACGAGAAAATGCTTGGGCCTCTGAAAGAGCCACCTTGGCCTCAAATCACGAGATGGAAAAGCGGGACATGGTGTCCAAGCACCATATGCAGGAGAGTATCTGGCATAACCGTGAACGGGACCTGCTCTCACACCACCAAGAGGAAAAGAACAAGCTCTCCGCCGCCCTGATCTCACAACACCAAGAGGAAAAGAACAAGCTCTCCGCCGCCCATCAGAACGAGTTGGTCTGCAAGGATGAGAAGCACAAAGGCGAGATAGAGCAGCTCAAGAAGGAGCATGCCGAAGAAAATAGACATCTGAAAACTCAAGTCAAAATTAAACAGCAGCAATTGGCGTCTTACAGCAGCAGCAGCTCGTATGTTGCCACATCAGATCAGCAGCTCAGAGCATCGTTCCAGAACCTCTCGCAAGAAGTCAGCAATTTGACTGCCTTGATTCCGCAGCCCCCCAATATAGAGCATATAGCTCATTCGGACCCAAATAGCTATCTGAAGCGGCATTTAGAACAGGTTGACCGATCGTGGCCTAGGTTCGTGCAAAGTCTATGCTGGACTGTGCTACATGAAGGATTCTTTGCTCTGCCGCTGGGATTTGGGGCTCTGGGGAAGGGTGGTGAAGGTGGCGAAAAGCTCAAGCAGTTGTGGCAGCTTTTCGAGAAACATATCAAGGGTAAGTGGATCTTGACAAATTGGTTTCTAGTATATGATCTTCGATGCCATTTGACTGATGCTAATGGATACAGGTGTCGGATCAAACTTTTCAACTTCCGGTAAACATGCCAACATCTGGCGGGCCACGCTCTTTGATGCGATATGGCGGGAAGTGACCAGTACACTGCCGTTGTCTTCAGAACACGACTTTGCCGCTCTCCTCCGTTCCAATATTTCACACGTATCCGAAAATCTTTTTGCTGAATTGCAGAAACTCAGTGCGGGTGAACTCGATTCGAGGGCAAAACCGCTAATCAAGAAAATATGCAAGGGATTAGGATTGTTATCGCTCCAGATGGGCACGCAGCGGGCACAGATTCTCTTGGAGATTGTTCGTCATGGGGATTCAATCACGCCGGATGAGAAGTTTGAGGACGAGATGGATGGTACTAAATCGGAGATAAAAGTTGATATCGTCACCAAGCCATGTATGCGCAGAGTGGGAGATGGAAGAGAGGACGGCCACACACAGAGTGTCATCTTGAAAGGAAGCGTGGTGAGCTTGAAAGTCTCAAGAACTCAAGTAAACAGACGTTAGTAGCAGGCTGTACCTATACTGTAATGCCCGCGTCATTTTGATGAGTCTGACTCATATCAAATTCTACAGCCTGATTTGGGTTATTTAGAAATAGCAGTAAACACAAATCATCCTCGATTCTCTATTGAATCGTGTAGCAAATTACTCGGAATATAGAACTGCCTTTTTGCTTTTGTCCATTGTCAATGAATCTTTTAGTACTATGATGTTCTGACAGTCAGTCTTGAGCAAAAGAATCAGTCTTAACACACAGTACGACCATGTTTCGGCAATGTGTAGGTCCTGAGGATATTGTCCTCGCTTTACAAGCAAGACATCCCCGAGACTCGTACCGAGCGCGAGCCCGAAAAATGCAAATTAGGCGCCCTGAATAGGCGCCCTGAACGCAAAGTGCCTGCTTTCAAACATGCTATTCGATGCTGACGCAAGCGCCCAACCATACTTGCAGTGAGGTATGCCCAGACCTGCGCCTCGTACCAAAGGGCCATTTGGAATGGAAATCCACTAGTGGAAATTCTGACTACAAATGCGAATTCGTATAAGATCTACCTCATGCATAAAGTGAGGCAGAATCTGAATGGGGCCAGAACATGGTTCGGACACGAAGGGAGATTACGCTGCAGGAAGGTATCGGAACAAGGATACCTCACAGTACATACTAAGAAGCCGGGCGAACTGCAAGGCTGGACGGGAAAGGAAACAGCCGGCGCAACGACTAACGCCTTCGGTTGGAGTTGGCAACGAATTCAAAAATCATATTTCATAATCAATTTGTTTGAATATCGAAACGTTAGAAATCAGAAGACCGACAGATAAGTCTTGGTTTTGTGTTCCCTGCATGGACATAGGCGTGCTCACCTGATCAGACCTGCTTGCAACGTGAGAAAATACGATGCCCGGCACGACACTCGCGAAGCTACCCAAGCAGCCTCTGCTGGACCGACGAACTGTTGGTCCGGCTTTCAGTACCATATGGCTAATAGTCTTTCTTGTATTCTATGTTCTATTCACCAAAGGCCGACGAAGAGAGTCCTACGGCATCATCGGTTATGCCTCTCTTCTTTTAGCAATGTGTGTTATTTCCAGAAACAGCGTTTGCAACCGAATCTTTGGATTTTTCTAACCATTTGACTTGATAGAATGTACCTCTTTAACTCGGTCGACGGCTGGCTTCATCATACAAAGACCTCGGTGACTTTTGGCTACATCCTCGTTCATCCGTTTGCAGAAGCCTTTGGCGTCACATCGACTTTGCTACTTCTATGGGGCACATTCAGGATAATATGGGACGAACTGGTAGACAGGTTCCCTTCTATCAGGGAGCAGAGATTCTGGTGGTTTGCCGCCAAGTTCACGATCTTCGTCATCTCGCTGATATCAATCTACTACACTGCGCTTTTTCTGGCGCTCGCAGCGGCCTGGGTCAGATTCATGAGCCTCAATACCATCAACGACATTGCAACAAAACGCACTGGTTTCGAGATCGCCAAGGGTTCCTTCAATTTCGCATTCACCTTACTCGTATTGGCTGCTTCATCTTTAACCTTTTTATGGAAGGCGAAGAAGTTCGAGGGGAGGCGTCCTCTAGTAAGTTTACTTTTTCCATTATCGCTACTGAAGCGAGACTCTTGTCAGTCCTTTGCGTTTATTAATTAATATCTGCATCATAGAATCGGGTGTGGACTGGATGGTTGGGTACTCTATTTCTGTGTGTCCGAAGCCTCATCGAGTTTGCCTTGATCCTAGCCGTTTATTGGCCTCAAGTCACCCGTCGAGACGTTCAACTTACTCGAGACATATATCATGGTTTGCTTACCGGGCTATACATGATATGTATGTACTCAATGGCACATGTGGTCAGCCAGCCCCACGATGCAAGTGGTCCCGACGCCCGGGCAGTGGAAGCGGCTCTACGGAAACATATTCTTGAAAAGCTTGACAGGGAAACAAAACATCCCGACCGTGATGCAGAATCGTCTGGTTTTGAAACCAGACACGGTCGCCTTGAGGCGCGGCGATTCGATTTGGTCCTGAAAGACGTCGCCCAAAGCTTGCCCGAGCTACTCCAAGACTTGGTGAAGGACCGTGCTTTAGTCAATGCAGAGACAGAGCGGAAGGCGAGGAAATACATCCGGATTCTGGAAAATGAGTTTGGACAGCTTGATCCAAAGGTGATGGCCAGACAAGAACGGGACCGTAATCTCAGCCGATCTTACGCCCCTTCCAAGGCGAGCCTGCAATCAGAATCAACGCGACATGGTCGCCACTCGCTGAACAATTTTTCGAAATCCGCCATAGGATTAGTTCAAGCACCAAACAATCCGGACGCCCGTCCACGGATACCCAAGCCTCAAAGGACCAACCATCATCAGCCTTTTGGCACCTTTAGACAGGAAATTCAAGATCCCAACTTGGACCCTCAACATCACGGAAGAAGTTCACACTGGCATCGTGTGGGAGATTATAATTCACCCGAGGCATCAGCTATACCGAGTCAATTTGGTGCGAGCCGTACTAACAGCAACGCTGCCACGTACAATGGCGGAACCAGTCGACAAGGACAAACGGAAGGTATCCCTTGGTCTCGTCGCCAAAGCCGACGGAATGGCGGAAGTGGTGGGAGAAATTTGAATGAATTGCCCTAGCATTGAATCCTTGATAAATACAAGAGACTAAGCTTCACTAAAATCTCAAAATTACGAACAATTCAAGACAGCCTGATGTTACGTGCATGGTATACTGCAAATGAATGGTGAAGACTGTATTGTAAATGAAAGGCGGGAAGTTACCATACCAGTCTCGTGGCAATGCCTTACCTCGCGGAATGGTTACCGAGTAATACATTCAATAAACCGGCAAGAAAGAAGATGTATGAAAAGGCTCAAGGGTATCTCTGTAAATACCACAGCCTGTTCTCCGTTCTGCTCTCGTGTTACGGGCTTACCTAATTGCAAGAAGAAGACGGGAAAGTTACGGGTGAATAATGCATGACAATTTGAGATTGCAGCCTGGTTTTTACACTTCTCACCAATTGGATTAAAGCCCCTCACACCTTGTTCTTTTTTCCCTCCAAATCTTTGCCCGAAATGTATCTATACATTTCTACTTTATTCCCACTTCTTCGCAGTGCCCAGACTCGGCGTGGTTATCCTGCTACTCTTTCACTCTCCCAAAACTGTCATTTATTCGTTCTTTCTGTTCTCCTGCCCTCTCAGGCAAGCTGCCCAAGTGTGGCATCTGGCCCCCCAGCAGCGGTGCGCTACTTGGTCACACTTGTTTTTGTTCATCCGCAACATGCTCCTTCAGTTTTCGCAACGCACGAGATGGCTCAAAACACTGCGGGCTAGTTCTGCTGTGCGGGAAATCCGGCGTTCGCGCCCAGACCTTGTTCCGATTGAAGAACTGAAGGAAGCGACAAATGCAGTCCTAAAGTCAAAGAACCTGTCTGTAGCCTCAGAGAAATGCGACAGGGTGCTTTTTGAATATTTGTTTGAGCTCCGGGGAGAGTTGCCTCTGCACCACGTCGGGATAATCGCATGTGCGCACACTTTGAGCTACGACATGTGGAGAGATGTGGTGGGCTCCGTGAGACCGGATCCTGACACAGAGCCGAGCGATGAACATTTCGATCTTAGGTTGAGGGCATATCTGTCAACGGTCATCGCATCATGGAGAATGAACAAGGCTCTGATTGACAAGCGAGTCTTTCATGCAGCTTTGGAACTACTAAGGGTCATGAGCCAGCCACCGGAACGTCTATCATCTGTAGGACGTTTGCTTCTGTGGATCGGAGAGGATGTCCTCAAGGAATTGATCCCCACGGAACTAGCTCAGACAGTTCTGGCTCGAAGAGATTATAGGATTCATTTACAACGCGAGCTCAGTAGCTTATCTGAGCAGTGCGACTGGGTCGAGGTGCGCAAACTAGTCGGCTTCTTCGACCGATGGCGTGATAATCAGTGCGCCTCCAGGATTCTCCCCGAGATCATTCCTGACCACCAGAAATGGTTGAACTGGCGTCCGACTGTTGCGCGTATCAAACGATGGAGTCAGGAGCTACGGCATCACGAAAACTACAGTGATCTTATCCCGCTTCTTGCCCTGGAAGGACCAGATATCTCGATTCAAGGTCGGCCCACCGCTCGGCAGAGTCCGGTAGCTATCGAGGCTCTCCGTCTGGCGGACGCACCGCCAGAGCTTCTCGACGATGCCTTGAATCTACTTGATGTTGCCATCGACTGTGGCGGTAATGCCGTTGGCTTCTTGGCTCACTTCCTTCTCCACTGTGGTCAACTCAATGTACGCGGAATTGAACGCGCGCGATTGTGTCTAGCTGCAGGATACCATGAGCAAGAAGACAGCTCCGTGTCAAGTCAAACTGCCGAACCCAATTCTTGTGGCTGTAATCAGAGAGACGTCGACTTTGCTGTTATACCAGTCTCAGCCTCGATTGACACCAATATGAGTGGTTTTGTCTCACGTGTATTGGACGAGCTCAAGACCCGACAAGTGGAGTTTTGCCACCAACTTCAGGTAGATGCGATTTCCGTGAATCTAGAGTTCGCTCAGCGTATTTGCGTCCTAGGCTCAGCCCTGAGAAGCGCTCATTGGCATTCTGCATATATCCCACTGGAATTTGCAGAACGGTTTCGCCGCTTTCCTTCCAAGGCAGACTTGGAGAGCAAAATCAGAGGGTTGCAAAGAGCTACAGGTATTGAGAGACATCGCTACGTGGATGATCTGGCAGATTGTGTGGGATTCAGTCAGCGCGACAGCTATCCTTCTTCGCCGGCGGCGCCCTCAAACCCTCATAGGCCTCCTGAAGATCCGATCTGGCTTGTGCCAGATGATGCCCTGGAAGGCGAACGTCCGCTGCTCCGGTCGCAGGTTCTCATGGCCGTGTATGAGACGAACCCTGATCTTGCCATTGAGTGCCTGAAGCAGTCCAAAAACGAACCCGACACCTTCATAAAAGCTCTCCTTTATTATTTACCCAAGACCACCACCCCGGACATGATTTGTGTGAATCTCGCCGGATTTCTCGGACCTCGCAACGCGCCTGACGGAAAGGCCTGCGGCGGAGCATCGGGCGGAAACATCCATAATGCTTGGAAATCGCTCCTGATGCATATGATGCGCTCTCTTGGGCCGGGCATGCTTGAGCGCTGTGCCAAGACTCTTGAGCGGAAGATATTGAAAAGCTGGCTCAGAAATCTAAACCTTCTCTACGGGGACAGCTATCTGGACCCTGACGGTGGCCTGGGCATCACAAAGGAGAAGATCAAGGGTTGCCTTGAAAGGGAACGAAGCGCATGAGTTATCATTCAGCATTCGTGCCAACAAACACACCAAGGACACACTGTTAAGTTCTACCATGGTGCTGGCCGAATATATGTATGTGGTTGGCAGTCGTATACCTCCTCGTTGCTTTCAGAGCCATTGCTGTCATAGGCAGCGACAATGGATGCGGATCATGAAACCATAATCTTTAAGACGCTATTCAGCCTTGGTGTAAATTGGCGGAGCATATTATAGTAAGACGGTGGCATCCGCCTTAGGAACCCCCTTTTGTACTTTTCCAATGACGTTCCTGATTATGGCAATTGTAATATTATTGAAATCGTAGGCAGATTGTTACGTCACTTATCCGGGGAAAAAAAAAAAAAAAAAAAAAAAAAAGAAGGAAACAACTGGAAGCGTTTGCATGCACTCGCCGCCCACTTTGCACCTAACAGCATTTGCAACACTAAGGTAGCAGCTTCTCAAAGTTTTAGCCCAGAAACCGCGAGAAATAAAGTGGAACGCGCTACACGGTACCGGGTACCGCCTTCTTCTAGCTTCGAACCAACGCAATCTGGCGCACCATCCTCTCGTCTCGACCTTCACTTGGTATAATACCTTCTACCTACTTGAACTTCCACATAATCACAATCAATTTCAATCGAAATAATCAACTTTTCGTAACGGAGCTTCGATTTCTGGAAATTGGCTTGTACCGTCCAGCGCCCCGTCAGTGCGAACAAAAATGGCTTCCCTGGGCACGTTGCCCGTCGAGTTGCTCCATGTCATTGCCGAATGCGTCTCGACAAGGGCCAATTTCGACAATGACGACTATTACAGATCAAGATTGATCCAGAATGATTTGGCTGCATTGGCACGCACCAATCGACGATTTCATCAAGTATTCAATCCACTTCTCTATCGTCGGGATCGAGAAGACGTATCGTATGCCCTTAGCTGGGCAATAACAAGATCTTGCTACCCAACACTGGAGAAAGCCTTGTCCTTCGGGTACGACCTCAACAACCAACTCTGCAATTGCGATCATGCCACACGTGTTCTCCCAATCGACGCCGCACTCAGACAGGAAAGCTATGGCGTTCTCAAGTGGCTACTAGAGCATGGGGTCAATCTAGATTTTGGTACAGTCGAAGACTTGGAACTTGGGGGCAGCGAAAAGATTCAACGTGTGAGCGACCACAATACTTCGGCATTACATCAATTATTAGAAGATGACCCCAACGAAGAAGTTGCCCTCATGCTACTGGATCATGGCGCGTGCGTTTACTTCGGCAGGAAAAGCTCATCCAGCATCAGCACCGATGAGAGCCAAGGACTTCTTTATACCGACACCGCATTGCACTTGGCTGCGTACGAGGGAGTCCCCAATGTCGTTGAGCGCCTCATTGTGGATGGGGTCATCAGCGTCGATTGCAAAGATTTAATGGGCTACACAGCGCTTCATCAAATTGTCTCAAAATCTGCTTCTAGAGCGAATATCATCGAGATGCTTCTACGTCACGGAGCAGATCCCCATACAAAGGCTAATGGAGGTACGAAAGCAATAATGACCGCCATCGAGGATGGTCACGTGGAAAATGTGCTTGCCCTGATTCAAGCCATGGCAGATCCATCGTCCTCAGATGCCGCTGCTCAACCGTGGTCTCATCTGTTCCTATACCTCATCCTAGAGGGACTCTCTCGTCGCTTGGAATCCCACGAACCAGCGGATGAATTCGAAGACTGGGAAGAAATCAAAATGGTCATTGCCAAGCTCATCGAGCACGGTGCCGACTTTAACAGACCACCACCGCCGAATTACATTCCAGAGGATGTCTTTGGTAAGTCGATTCTCCAAGAATTTCACAAATTTTGGTTGAATTTATTTCATCATAATGTGGTATCATGAGACCCCAGTTGGGTTTTATTTGTCTTTTTGGGAGCTAGATATTGGGAATACACCGTCCGCCCCGCCCACCCCCCTTTTTTATTTATTTTTTTATTTTTTCTATTTTATTTTATTTTACTTTGCACTTTGCACTTTGCACTTAGCACTCGATTCGCTAGTCAAGGACCCATGATGAGCTTGGCTAACATTGACTATTTCTTAGAGCCAATTTTATCGTGGGCAGCTAGATTGGACGCATTCATAGATGAAGATGGTGGACCCATCATCTTCAAGGCTCTAGTCGACCTCGGTGCCGATCCATTCATCAAATTGGAAGATGGGCGGACTCTATTCCATGCTAAGTGCATGGAATGGCTTCACTCCGGATCTTTCTCTTCCAGGGATGTCGTGGAGCTTTTTTTCAAAACTGGTGCTCGAATGGACCATCGAGATTCATCTACAGGCCAGAGTATGTTTGAGTTGATCGTGAACTTCTGCGATGACCCTCATCGAGCTGACCATGGGGGCTTGGAATTTCTGTTAACACATGCATTGCCAAACACTTTGGCCGCCAGTCATGTGTACGAAGTACTACACTCGCGACTTGAGGATATCCAGAATCATCTCATTGCGTGTCTCCTCATCATGCGACATGGGTGGATTTCTGGCAAGGCTCGGACTTACATCTTCGAGTGGCTAGTCTCCTATGTAACGGGGATACCAGTGAGACACTCTGGCCTCTATCTCGACAAATCGAATGGAAAATTCAATCAAAAGGCGGCCAAGTTCTTCCCTGGCCTGTTGAACCGGGAACAGTTAGATCAATTGTGGGAAAAGGGGTTGGCTTCCTACAGTGTTGGCTTGGAAGGGCCATACGGCCGCGTAAAGTGTTCGGAAAGCAAATGGATAAAACTCCCCTGGATGCATATCAATGCTGAAAGAGGCGATGTTGAGGCTATGAAAATGTTGCTCGATTGGAAGTTTCCGGCATTCAACTTTGAAGAAGATGATGAGCAAGATGAAATGGTGACCAACGGTTACACCCACTCGCCTCTCATGCGGGCGATGCATCGAGGGCACAGAACGGCGGCCCTTTCCTTGATCGAACATGTAGCAAAGACGTGGAGATCACAGCGAGGTTTCTTAAACTGCGGTCACTGGAATTCATACGGCAGGGATATGAACAACTGTCGCGAATGTCCTTACGGGCAAAAATCAGCCTGCGATCTTGCCTTTTCCCTAGGCGAGGTTGAGCTGTTGGAACACATGTGGGACGACCTTCTGGCTTTGGAGCAGTCAATCGAGCAAAGAGTACAATGGGAGGCCCAGCAACTCTACATGCCTCGAGTCTATAGTCACGGCAATGTTTTTGCCGAATGGATCGAGCTGAAGCTGGGGATGTGTAATTGGATGGCGCTGAAAGCAAGGGGACAAGACGCCTCTTGGTTCCGCCTGGAGATTGAAAAAAGACTGGCCAAGCTGCGCTCGGAAGTCGAAGAGATCCGAGACGCCTGGAGAGCGAGGGCCAAGAGCTTTGAAAGAGAGAAGGGTGATGCTCTACCACGCGCTTGGGAGGTAGAAGACGGTACTGAGCATAGTTGATAGCATGATTACCCAGTGCTCTTGTGATGTATCCACAAGACATTATTAGGTGGATATAAAAAAAACAATAAAAAATAAAGTATCTAAAGCCAATAAAAAGGGAGACAATCTTGAAGCATTTAAGATATCCAACAACGGCACTTGAACCTTGCTTCAAACTTTCCCACTGGGAGATAAATCAGGCTCCC